GATATAAAATCGATAGTTTTTTGAAAATAGCCTCCTATGAACAAAACCAGAAATGCTTTATATTGCATTTTAAAACATATTTAGGTATTATAAATGATGAAGAATGCTCATATAGATATAAAATCAATATTTTTTCGAAAATAGCCTCCTATGATCAAAACCAAAAATGCTTTATATTGCATTTTAAAACATATCTAGATATTATAAATGATAAAGAATGCTCATATAGATATAAATATGCTTTCCCGATGACGAAATCGAGACCGAGACTTCCCGGGAAGTCTCGGTCTCGATCTCGTCTCGGTCTCGAGAATTTTCCGAGACCGAGACCCGAGACTAGAGAAGTAAAAAATTTAAGTAAAAATGATAATTTTAGAATTTTTCCCATCACAGTTTGTAGTTAATCTTACAGTTAGGGTAAATGACCTTGAAATTTGCGCATTTTCACACATGAAATTTTCATTTGCTTCAATCTCTTCCGAGGTATGGGATTTTTTCTCTTTTTGTATGGGATTTTTCGGGTGCAAATTATTGAGTTCCTAATGGTTTAATATCACTAAAAATTAAATCAGCTGTATAATGCACTGCTAAGCATTCAACCAACATCTACCCAGAGTGAACGTAATTTTTCAATCAGCAATAATGTTTTGACCAAGCAAAGGAAGCGATTGCTTAACAAAAGCTTAAATGCTATCGTTTTTGTGAAAGGTCATTTCCAAAACCCAGAATAGTTTTAATAGGGACACACTTTCTTATCATTATGCTTTTCTTTTATCATTACGTATTTCGTATTTCTTTTATATTTTATAATAGTATTAAGACAATAAAATTAGTTTGACTGATCGCATAACAAGGAATATATCCAGAAGTTCAATAACAAATAGACGTAATCTACATGTTCTAAGTGTTTTTTAATTACTTTCAGCGAAATTTTAAGTAGTTTTTAAAGTCGAGACTTCCCGGGAATTCCCGGGAAGTCTCGGTCTCGGTCTCGGTCTCGAGAATTTGTCGAGACCGAGAAATCGAGAAAGCTTAGATATAAAATCGATTTTTTTTTGAAAATAGCCTACTATGATGAAAACCAGAAATGCTTTATATTGCATTTTAAAACATATCTAGGTATTATAAATGATGAATAATGCTCATATAGATATAAAATCAATATTTTTTCGAAAATAGCCTCCTATGATCAAAACCAAAAATGCTTTATATTGCATTTTAAAACATATCTAGATATTATAAATGATAAAGAATGCTCATATAGATATAAAATCGATTTTTTTTTGAAAATAGCCTACTATGATCAAAACCAAAAATGCTTTATATTGCATTTTAAAACATATCTAGATATTATAAATGATAAAGAATGCTCATATAGATATAAAATCGATATTTTTTTTGAAAATAACCTACTTTAATGAAAAAAAGAAATGCTTTATATTGCATTTTAAAACATATCTAGGTATTATAAATGATAAAAAATGCTCATATAGATATAAAATCGATTTTTTTTTGAAAATAGCCTACTATGATCAAAACCAAAAATGCTTTATATTGCATTTTAAAACATATCTAGATATTATAAATGATAAAGAATGCTCATATAGATATAAAATCGATATTTTTTTTGAAAATAACCTACTTTAATGAAAAAAAGAAATGCTTTATATTGCATTTTAAAACATATCTAGGTATTATAAATGATAAAAAATGCTCATATAGATATAAAATCGATTTTTTTTTGAAAATAGCCTACTTTGATGAAAACCGGAAATGCTTTTTATTGCATTTTAAAACATATCTAGGTATTATAAATGATAAAGAATGCTCATATAGATATAAAATCGATTTTTTTTTGAAAATAGCCTACTATGATCAAAACCAAAAATGCTTTATATTGCATTTTAAAACATATCTAGATATTATAAATGATAAAGAATGCTCATATAGATATAAAATCGATATTTTTTTTGAAAATAACCTACTTTAATGAAAAAAAGAAATGCTTTATATTGCATTTTAAAACATATCTAGGTATTATAAATGATAAAAAATGCTCATATAGATATAAAATCGATTTTTTTTGAAAATAGCCTACTATGATGAAAACCAGAAATGCTTTATATTGCATTTTAAAACATATCTAGGTTTTATAAATGGTTAGGAATGCTAATATAGATATGAAAACGATGCCCGGTAATAACACCGACGCGGAATAACTTCACAACGCAGCTTTGAAATATTGTCGAAAATTTAAAATGCATAGAGTGGTATTAATTTTACCTATACAGCCTGAGTGAACTTATTCCGGTGTGGCGCACGAATAACTTCACCTAGAAAATATATGGGAAGTTATTCTACACGCTTTTGCGTGGAAGTTAAAAATAAGAGAGACAAAGTTTTTATTTTGGCAAAAAATGACTGGAAAAGTTGTTTTGGCTTTTAAGCCCACTAGGACCAAAAAAATTTTTTGGATTTCCATCGTCCGTAGCTATTCAAAATTATCTAAATTCAGCCCTAGTGCTTCATGCTTAAGTCAGCTTTAGACGAAACTTTGCATATGTATTCTAGACATCAATATCTCGAAATAATTTGGGAGTTAATTGATTTCAGCTTTGAACAAGCGAGAACGGAGCAAAAAATGATCAAAAATTTTCAAAAATTGCATGCTACTAAGTAGACTTTTTGACCTTGTGGACTATCGTATTCATGAAATTGTCTGAAACTTGGCATAATTATTTTTTAATGCTAGTTCTCCTTAACACAAAAACCGCAGCTTCTAAAATGGTTATAATTTTGAGATATGGTCCATAGAAAAATAGGTTCCAAAAACGTCAATTTTCGATTTTCAAGAGGCTATAGCATGTCATGGTAAAGTCTAAACATAGTCATATGGGGTATTTTTGTAAAGCTCTTGAAAAGGACTATAAGATAAAACTCAATTTAATATCCAGTTTGAAAAAATGTCTGGTGCCGCAACAATTTTAAGAAAATGATTATTTTTCCTAGGTTTTCCAACTTTGACATTCAAGAACTCATTAAATTTGTGGATGTTTCAAAAAGCTAGATAACTTCTGCAAAATTTCTTTTGTTGTGTGATCAAAATGGCCAAATATTATTTTCCGAGACTCTTATGGCTCGGCTGTGAACCTGATTACCAAATTTGTAGATCGAAAAAAGTCGTTTTTTGGCGTTTTGAAGGCATAGATGATGTCTAATTGTAAAAATTTATATACAGAAAAATCCAGCTTTCTGATACACACATTCTGGTACTCTTTGAGATTTTTGAAAATGAGTCCTTCAGGCTGTATCAAAAAAGTTTGTTCTGACCGAAACTAATAACTTACACGCTTTTTGCGTGGAAGTTATTATTCTAAAATCTAAAGTTTTGCATTGTTTTGTCAGTAATTTAAAATGAGCATGTCTAATGTATGTTTATTTTTTAACCAAAATATCGCAACTGAAAATCAAAATGACAACCCGGCGATGTAGAATTTGTTGTTCAGCTTGAAGCTTTTAGCAATTCGATATTTTTGATGTGACATGATGTTACAAAGTCAACTGCCGTCAACTGTTGCAAGCAACATAGCAAATGATATCCTTATTGTCGCCAATAAAACAGCAATGCCATACAGCAAAAAATTCTTTTTTAATTTAAACAATTTATTAACGAAAAGATTTTGGCATTTTGTTCACATAAATTAAAAGTATGCTTGTAGAAACATAAACTAGCTGCTTCATGTTACAGATCTTGATTTAAATTAATGATTGAGATAAAGAGAGAGAGAGAGCACAAAAAATCTGTTCAAATTTTACGCACATCAATTATGTTATTGATAAATTTGAAAGACAAGACATTATGAGATTTTGAAAAGATTTTCTATTAAAACATTTATCGGTTATTGAGTTTTATAACCTTTTTCATATTTGTTTAAATAAAAATTTATTGAAAAAAATATGGTATATTGTGATTTCGTGTATTTCCTGTATATGTTCTGTTAATGCACACGCACACAATTTCGAATAATGGTTTTCGATAAGATGGTGATCTTTAGTATCCTGCCAATTCAGCAAATGTAGAGTCCATTTCATCAGCAAGTGACTTATATCTGTCTTTGTTAAGACCAAGTTCATCTAAAAGGAAAAATTAGAGAAAAAATTTAAAATTAATTCCCGAGTCTCTTCAATCCATTTTAAAAACTTATAATATGTAAACATTATAAATCTATTTTTGCACACGTTTTCTTGGTAAATTCAAATTTGGAATAAAATTATTATGTCGTCAGTATTGTTCACACTAAGTACAACTATAATAATTTGGAGATCAATTTTTCTCTAAAAATACCCTTTAAAAGCAATTACAATATTCTGTCTGATAATAAACATCCCTCATTTTAACATCCCTTAAAACTTTCACATTATCAAAGTATGGTCTGATAATAAATATCCTTCATTTTAACATCTCTTAAAACTTTCACATTATCAAAGTATGGAAGAAAACCCTTGAAGTGCAAAAATAGATGAATGTTTGCATGATAAACTTAAATTTATGTTTTGGAAAAATTATGGCTTATTTTAAAATTCAATTTATTTAAAACTTTTATCAAAATTGTAATTAATTAATCTTTTGTGATTTTGCACAAAAGACGAAAGTTTAATTTGCAACGAACTTAAACTTTAAATATTATTAGTATATTTAAATTTTTAAAGATGTATTAATTAAAGTGATAGAAATGATACAAAAATGAAGAAAAAATAAATTAATACCTTACGATAGTAATTTTTATCAAGAGAATAAAGCAGCAATAATTATTTGGCATATTAATAAGAAGAACTGATTTATAAAGATTTCCATATACAGCCATCTTCGCTGGTACTTCTGAATTTCAATGCATTTTATGCTGACTATTTTTTTTTTTCTTTTTTCTTTTAAATTTTTGATAGGATCATTGATTGTTAGTATCAAGATTAGTCAGAGAGAAAGATTAGAAAGATAGCGTGTAGGCAGAATGTTATTAATAAAAGTGTTTGTGTGTGACAATAATGCATTAGATGTTAGAGAATAGAGTTAATTATCGAGAAATTATAAGGAATTTTGAGGGTGAAAGTTAGATAAAGTACAATATCATAAATATTATGTATTTTGTCTATATTTCGTATCATTTTTTGAAGGAATTTAACGTACGATGATGTACGAGAGGAGAATATCATTACATGTCGATGATCATGTAATGGATGAATTTTTAATAATGTAGTTTTGTTCATGAAATTTGAATCAGTGTATGGTTTTGATTGGTATATAGGCCAGTGATATAAAGAAATTCATATATCATTGTATCAATGTTTTATCTATATAGCTATATATGGCATATGTTTGTTGGATCAGAAATTGCTTTGGAATAAAAGGATTTTGAAGTGATATTTTAAGAACGAAAGAAGTAATTTTGTGATCGGAATTAAAGTATAATTTAAAATCCTGCCATTTCGGCAAATGTAGTGTCCATATCCGCGCAGATAGCATTGTAAGTTTCTTTTTGGACTGCGAGTTTGTCTGCAAAATAGTTTCAAAAAGAAACATTAAACAAATGAAATTAAAATTTAAAATGTGTGAAAATGATTTTTTTTTCTTCAGTTTTTTTTCTGTTCATTTTCTGAATCCTCAAATTTCATTTTGCTTTGTTGTTAACTCATGGATGTATGAATTAAAATAAAATGAGGAATCTCAATCGAAAAAACACGATCATAATTGTGTAATACTAAATATACAAGTAGTAATAATGTGAATTTTTGATGTATACAGAAATGGACACATATGATGATGATCATTATAATAACAAAAAAGGAATAAGAACAATGGGAAAACATTTTTTCAGAAATGTGTGTGTAAGTTTTCACACTAAAATCCAGCCATTTCAAGGAAAGTCGCTTCCATGTCAGTGCACAAGAATTTATACTTGTCTTTTTCACGGCGAACTCTATCTGTAATATGTCATAAATTATTGTAAGGTGATATAAAAGAAGAAGAAAAAAGTTAAAAAGGTAGAAAAAAAATTGTCACAAAAACCAAGAATTTTGAAGAGCAAGAATTTTCAATTCTCATAGGATCCGAAAAATTAGTTCAAGGCTCAAAATAATAAAAAGAACTAAAAAAACATATAAAGATGCGTAAGTCTTGTCTCGTTTGTATGAATGTTTCGAGACGAGAGAAAAATTTGCGTATTTTTTTCTTTCTTTTTTTCATCGAGTATAAAAAACTTTGAAAGAAGAAAATATTGGAAAAGTTCCAAAAACCAAAAGTCATACCTTCAAGTCTATCAACTTCCTTTTGCAATTTCTTGACAGTTTTTTCAGCCAATTCAGCACGATTCTCGGCTTCCTTAAGCTTGATTGTCAATGATTTCAATTGGCGCTTGAATTCCTCAACTCGTTGATTGGCCTTTTCTTCTGATACTTCCAATGATTTCAATGAGTTACCGACGACCTGTTTGTACATCATTATGTGAATTATGCTCAATATTTTAAATTTTTGGTCATGACATTACCTTCAATTCTTCTTCAAGTTCCATAATCTTTGCTTCTCCTGACTTTACACGATCTTCAGCAACTTCCAATTCATCTTCAACGAAGGCCAACTTACGTGATACTTCATCAGATTTGCCATCGGCATCTTCAGCGAGAAGACGAGCTTCTTTAAGTTGGTTGGTTAATTGATCCATACGTTCTTCATCTTGTTGTGAGCGATTTTCTAATACTTTGCACATACTGTATCGGAAATTAAATTAATTAAAACTCATTCATGTGCTTTATAACTTTTGAAATTACCGGTTATTTTCATCAGCAGCTTGTGTTGCTTCCAATAATTTTTGCATGGCAGTGGATGAGCGTTCTTCTGATTTTTCCAAATCTTCTTCAACCTGTTGTACTTTACGATTCAATGCAGCGACTTCTGATTCAGTTGCTGTGAGTAATTTTTCCTTCTCTTCCAAATCCTTGTTGCCTTGCTCCAATGCATTTTTGTGTGCTTCCAAATCCTGTTCAACTTGAGCCAATTTTTTGATCAAATCAGCAACTTCCTCTTCAACCTTAGCGGCTTTGGAATTGGCATCTTTAGCCTGGTTTTCGCATGTATCGGCTTTGTCTTGAGCATTGTCTTTCTCAAGCTTCATTGCCTGCATCTTCTTCTTAATTGCGTCCATTTTGCTTCTTGTTTATTTGTCACTCTACCTTTAAAACTTGGATAAATGAAAATAACTGAAACGAAAACAGATCATTTATAGATCAATGCATTTAGTTTTAGAAGATAAAATTCTTTCTTGATCAAGAGAAGTTCAATAACATCAATCAGTGACAAACGAATGTAATTTATTAAGTTAACGAAGCCATGACGTCATATGGATTTCTTCTTTCACATACTTAGTAATATTTTAAAAAAAAAACGATCACGATATTTTTTTAAGCTTAAAATATGCTATATATTACACCTACATCCCAACAGCATTAATTTTCTTCTTCACATACACATCTTTGCAAAACTCACAAGTTTTTTTTCTTACTTTTCCTCTCAGCAAATTTCAAAAATAGATTTTTTTACATTTCACATTTTTTTCTGCTTCAACTTTTTTCCCCCACATATTATTGAGAAATTTATTTTTTTATGAATATTAAATCATTGTCGACTTCCTAGATTTCCATGAGGATTCTTATTGAAACTCCATATTGATTAGCAATTATTTGGATAATAATAATTTTCATGTGGTTCCATGAATTTATGAATAATTTTTTAAGTAGAACAAATGTCAGAAAATCATCTGATAACTTTAACAATACTAAGTGGTTTATTCTGGATATATTGCACATCAATAACATTCTGGTCTACAAATTAAATTATCGAAATTCGATTGAAATTTTCAAGAACCCCTCTTACTTTTTTTTTTCAAGAAAGAAAATTAAATTTTGGTACAACCATAAAATACACTTGAAACTAACCTGAGCGCTCTTACTGATCCTCGCGACACTAAATACACGATAGCACTGACAAATGCAACATATAGGCGAAAACCAAAAATAAATTCGGAAAATTACGAACGCACGATCATTTTTGTTTTTTCTCAATTTCGTCTATGAATTGTAATATTTAGAAGGAGAATTTTTCGACCTGTGCTATTTTTAAATTTTCTTTCATCGTAATTGTGAAAATATGTGAGAAAAGAGGAGAAAATGCTGAGATCACTTGTATTTCCCCAGCTAATGAAAATTTCCCCAACCAAAGAAGAAGAAAAAAAAAACAGTAATAAGAATGTGGATTCCGATTTTCGTTAAAATATTTCTTTTATTAAGAAATTTTCTCAACTTTTCCACTGACTTGTTGTTGTGTTTCGTCAATCCCACTGAAATGAAAATCGTATCTACCTCTCAAAATGACTTGAAACAATTATAGAACCATTTTATCACCACCTGTAGAACTTTTCATTCAGAAAGTTACTTTCAGACAAAAACACTTAACAATTTAAAGTTGAATTTATTCCAGACTGAAAGTTGCTTAAAGATTCAATAGACTTGACACAGATATTTCCGAAATTTGAGTTGCAAAATGTCATCAAATATTTTGAAGTTTATTATTAGAAAATCGGGAGGCAGATTTAGAGAAGAACTGAAACAAATTCGTTTAAGGCATGAAAATTGGCTTCAAATTTTAAGCTTTATTATGCATAATTTTTAATAATACAAAATTATTTTTTTTTCTGTCACAGTAAATAAGTCATTGAGTGTTAGCGAATGAAATTAAAAGCAGAGACACAAATATTTTTTTTTTGATGAAAAAACTGGAATGTTACTGGTATTTAGCATCCATGCAATTCGTGATAAGTCAGATCCAATTGATTTGCAACAGCTTTGAACTTTGCCCTTTCTTGTACTAACTCCTCTGCAAAAAAAAAGATTGAAAAAAAAAAATTAAGATACTCTACATTCATAAACTGAAATCGTCAAGTCGATCTACATTCATATTTTCTTGAATGTGTCAACGGACGATATCAGCTTAAATGGTTCCAAATTTTCTCAAGGACGAATGCGCCTAAAAATATTTTTAAGGTGGTCCCAATTACAATAGAGAATTGAAAAAAAAACTCATTTAAAATAAAGAAGCATTATTCATGTAAAATTTTCAGCATAGATTTTTTTTTGAAGCTTTAAATTAATTTAATTAAGTCATTATGGAATTAAAAACAGGAACATGAAAAGTTCTTATTATAAAATTATTTTTCACTTCATCCTCTTGCGGAATGTTTGTAATACTTCGAAGATTTTCAGAAAATCATTTATACATCATCATGATCGCAGACCGCCTACAGTTTCTTATATGAAAAATGCTATGTGTGCTATACACAAAAGTTGTGTATATTATAAAAATTTTACTGGCTATTCAGACACATGAGACCATCCGTATTTGTAGGTTGTATATTTTCAAGCGCATTATCACATTGAATTTTAAAAAAAATATAAATTTTAAATAAAAATTATATTTGAATATAAAATTATCAACGAAAATGGAAGTCATGTTTGCTATTTTGAAGAATGCATAAATAATCATAATTTACTGTCAGAAAAAATTGCAAAAAAAAAATCACCAACACAAATAATTCATTCAATATTTTTGAGAGTTACACTATATGAAAAACAATAAGGCACAAAGTATTTAGAAATTTGATTCTCCTCCCTGTTGTCTTTTGATCGTGTTGATCTCTCGAGTAGGTGTGAAAATAGGAATAGATTTAATTGTGAAATAGCGTAAAATTCAACGATGAATTTATACATAATATAAGATAACAGACATAGAATGAATTATGCTTAATCCTAATCCCCTTTTAAAATAAATATGAAAACATTTTCGTTGATGACTGGTTTTTTTGAATTTTAAGATTTGAAAATTAATTAATTGTGAGTTTTAATGTCTTCATATGCACTCGAAAGGATGCTAGCAGTATTTTGTGTGCTCATGACAGAAGTGGATTAGATCCTATTTTAAATTGTAGATTTTAGGGGTAGAGCTATGTGCTTATTATATATTCTGAGAAGGTTAATACCATCGATCGGTAGGCATGTTAAGTCCAATGCCTCAAACCTTCTTATTAATAAAATAAGAACTAATATATTGAGGACAGCATTTATGAACGATTCTTTCAAAAACTAAAATCAACTTGAAATTCGACTGAGCAAAGTTAAAATGAGACAATTCCAAAAAAAAAACTAGTAGTAATAAAAAAATACCTTTCAACACACGAAAAATAAGAGCTACAAAGTATAAATAAAAGTCTATGTTCTCTGAAATAGAAAATATAACACAATAAAAAAAGTAAAAATAAATTAAATAAATAATGAAAAAAATTAAAATTATAATATTCAAATAATAAAACTTCTTTCCCTTTATTCCATAAAAAATGTATGCAAAATAAATTTCGACTACGACAATCATTGAATGTATTCAACCATAATATGTAAAACGACATAATTCGATCGTAAAGTTATTTTTTTTTAAAAATTATCAATTTGCAGTTTTCAATTAAAAATTTGTTGCTTGATGATGTTCAGTTTCAAGACACAGTTTTTTAAGTAAAATATATGATAATTTTTTTTAATAACTTAAACGTTATAATTACATGTGGATTGAAATAAAAAATTGTGTGAATAATAGTAAAATGAAAAGAATAAAATATCATTTGTAGTTTCCAATTAGTGTGTTTTGTGTAGTAAGTAAAAAGACGAATTTATAACAAATGAATATTTTTGAGAGTATAGAAAAATATCCATAAGTGCTCATTTCCATTTTGATTTGCGATGAAGAATTGCTTATTCTTTGAGGATAAGTTCCACGAATGCTGTATCGAGATCGTCTCCAATTTCTCTGTACTTTTCCTTTTCGGAAACGAGTTCGTCTATATATATCAATGAATGAAAGTAATAGAAAAATTTTTGTGTAAAAGATTGAAAATTATTTTCTTTTTGAAGAGGAGTTATGTAAGTAAGAGTGTGGAAGCGTTATAAATTCGGCCAGAAAGAAATGTAAAAAAAAATTATAATAATTATCAGCGTTAATGTAAGCAAAAATAAATCGTTATTTTAGGCTTATTCGGTGGGAGCATCTGAAGCCGGTGCTGGTGCTTCTTCTTGAGCAGGTTGTTCTGGTGCTGGGGTTTCAGCTGGAGCTTCAGTTGCAGGTTGTTCTGCTGGTGCATCTTCTTGAACAGGTTCTTCTGCTTTTGGAGGCTCTTCAACTGGTTTTGGTGGTTCTGGGGCAGTTTCAGGAGAAGCCTCAAAAGATTTAACAAATGGAACTTCAGCACCATCAGGTGGAAAGTGTTTTTTAAGTTCGAATGGTGATGGTTCTTTTGGAGCAGCTGGTTCGACAGCAAGTGCTCCTTCAGTTGGTGCTTGTCCGTCAGCAATAACTGCTGCTCCCTCAACAAGAGGAGCTCCTTCCACAGTTGATTCAACTTTTTTAACTTCAACTGGTGGTGATTTTTCTCTTGGTGGTGGAGTTGGTGGTTTTGGACGACGATATGACCAGATTGGAGGAATACCATCAATTAAATCGACGAATGTAAAGTCAAGATCATCACCGATCTCAGCGAAATGCTCTTTTGCAATAATTAATTCATCTAGTAGTATTAATAAAGCGAAAATGATATAGAGAAATGATATTTAATTTCAGCATATTTTCAGCAATCAAATGGAACTTCACACGCGTTGTTATAAAATTACAGGGATTTACTATTTTTAGACGTTTATCACTTTAAACGTATATTTTGTTTTAATTAAGGAATAAAAATTATTCAAATAAACTTTCTGCGACTTTTTATTGTGTAGAATCGGGGTTTAAATAAAAGAGGACATACATATTAGTTAAAAGGTGTATTTTTTTTTTTTGAAGACATAAAAATATAAAATATTATTTTGCAGGAAAAAAATTGTAAAAAATTGCCATAATCATAAAATATGCAGTTTCGTAATATATACTTTCAACATTAGAACTAATTTATAATAAAATAAATTTAAATGCAGGTTTTACAATTTTTTTAAGATACTTAAATAAAGTAGAAATACGATTTTCTTCATTTATATATTTAAAATATGAAAGAAAAAATGGAATTATCCTTTCGATTTCCTTTATCGAAGTTTATACTTGATTATATTCTTTCTTTCTTGTTGATTTAATCTTGTATATATTTGTGCATTTCAAATACTTAGTTATCAATCATTATGAAATTTTAAAATAGTTATTAAAAAAATATCCCGATGTGTAGTGATCTAGATTAGCAAGAAAATTTTTGTCGGATTGAATCCGATTCTTAATAAAATGCGATTATCGTTTTTTTACCGTTAAATGTAAATGGAATCAAAATATTGGAATCTTTTGTTTTTAAATGAAATATATTTGTTGAACATGATCTTGATTGTTCACAAAATTTCTTTAAATCACTTAACTTAAGAAAAATGTTCAACATTATAACGGTAAAATATAAAATTTCATATTAAACAATAGATGCTTTAAATTCTTCTTGTATACCAAAATGTTTCTAATTAAAAGAGAAAATTTGATGAAATGTTAGCTAATTTTTGTTATATCATATTAAAGAGGAAGTTCGTGAAGTGATATGGAATATTATTCTTAATACTTTGTTTCTTCGATTGACTGTAGATTGAAATTGCAGTAAAATGGCATTTTATAAATCTATAAATTGTGTCAATGTTGTGCCAGTTTGTATGTTTGCTATATAAACTAGAAATGAATAGCATTACTTTATCAAATTTTCCCTTTTGTTTAAAAACTTAGTGGTAACGCTTGCCATTAATATATATATGTATAAGAAGTTATGAAAAAAATATGGAAAAAAGACGGAATGGCATTTTGCTCAATGTCTTTGATACTATGCTTTGAAAAGTTTCAGCAGAATCCAAAGTCATTTGGAACTGTAAAATTTTACTGTAGTTAAGTTCTCATATTACATATTCTGAATATCGTGGAGTGTAGCTTCCATTTCTTCTTGAAGCATCTTGTTCTTTGCACGTTCATTCATTAGTTCATCTGCGCAAACGAAGGGTTTTCAACAATTATGGTTGTTACAACACACATCACAACATCAAAAAAAAATCATAAAAATAAAATCAAAATTAATAAGTAAAAAAATCCAAAAAAATTTGACTATAAAATGAAAAATTTCTTTTTACAAAAAAAAGTTAAAAAGGTTCTACGATGAGCATTAATACAAACAAGCTTCTTACCTTCAAGTCTATCGACTTCCTTCTGCAATTTCTGAACAGAACGTTCAGCGAATTCTGCGCGGGCTTCAGCCTGTAAAACAGTGTATTCATTAGAGACTCATATTGAAATTTTCAAGGAATTTATATTATGCAAGGTATAAGTTAATTAAAAGCAAATTATCATTTTCTTTTAGTACATTTTCCATTAATTTTGTATTCTTGATGTCTTGGAATTTCCTCGTATTGAAAAAAATAAATTGAAATTTTATTTTTTTTTTCCAAAATAACAGGATTCTTAAATTAACAGGAAAATGGACTAAAGGGTAGAGCTTAACAAGTTGGGCAAGAAAATCATTTGCAAAAAAATAAAACATCAAAATATTAAAACAAAAATTAAAAAAAATTTTTAAATTTAAATCAACAAAAGACAAAAAAGCATTAAAATTCATGCATTTAAAATTCATTATGATACTTTTACCAAATTATTTCATCTTTTTGTATTTTAGCAAATATTTGAAGTCATTAAATAAGAAAAATTCTCATCGCTCTAGAAAAAAATGAGTTCTTTCTTTCAACAGTCTTCAGTGTTATACCAAAAATATAATGAATTTTATTATCTTTTTTTTTTAAAAAAAAGGCAAAGAAATAATATTAAGCCAGTTGTGTGAATTTTTTTTTTGTTTTTGTCCTATTTATAATAATATAATTTTTTTTTTTGTAGAAGAAACGTGAGAAATTTCATAAAATATTTTTGTAATTTAAAATATGTCACTTACAGTGGTTAGCTTATCATTCAACTGATGAACTTTTGCTTCAACTGTTTCATGGGATGCATTAGCCTTTTTTCGAATTGAACATTATATTTATTTATCTTCAGTTATAAGTAGAAAGTTAAGAAACGGATAAAAAGAACTATTTGCCAAAATACAAGAAATTCTTGATTACGTGTCAAATTGAATTCCTTTTCGCACATGTCATACTTCCGCGTTCAACGTGCAAAGGGAAATATTTTCTTCAACAATAATACAAACTTAGTCTGGTACGATAAAATATATGTATGAAAATCACATTTACGAATACAAATGAAAGCCATAGATATCACAAACAAATATAACGTTTGCTCAAAGATTTTCGTTCGATAGGTATAAAAGATTACTGTATATAGATTATGATATTCGAAAATACCTCCTTCAGTTGTCTCTCCAATTTTCTCACTTGACATTCGAAGGTCTCTTCTCTCTGTGTCGCCTGTGATTATTTTAGTGTTAATTATGGTTAATTAAAAAGTTTACAACAAACTGAGGTTAATGATTATAACAACTATGTATCTGTACTCTATGTTCTGTACGGATAATAAATCTTCAGCATTGAACAACTATCATTCTCTTGAATGTAGTTTGTGGTGGAATTAAGCAAGAAAAATTCGTTAAAGCAAACTTTAGGCATCGAAAGAACAACGATAAGTTTCATTGATCTCAGAATTAGATGTTAATTAACATCAGGGGAATTTTCAAACAACAAATATGAAACAACACGCAAACGTTGGGAATTCTTTCAAAAGCCATGAACAAACCTCCTTAAGACGGGTAGTGAGGGTTTTGATTTGGTTTTTGTATTCTTCTTCACGTTGGTTAGCCTAATTGCAATTTAATACAATAAATAGAAATATCAGTTAAATGATCTAGATGTATGCTCAAGATTGTTTGAATGGCATTATCATTATGAATGACCCTATATATTTGGCAAATATTCTGAAAATGAATTCATGAGGATTAATAATTGTACTCCATATCACCTTTTCTTCTGAGACTTCTAATGATTTCAAGTTGTTGCCTACAACACGGAGTTCTTCTTCAAGTTCAACAATTTTACTAAAATAATAAGAAATAAATAAATATTAGAAATTTGGAATTTAAAGATTTCTCATCGAAATTTCACATTTCAAACCACAAGTCCAGACACAATTGGAATTAATGTTTGAAAATTGTGAATTCAAATCTCACAATATTGAAAGCACATTAAGCATAAAAACAACAAACCTTTCGCTTAATTCAACTTTTTCCTCTGAACGTTCTAAATCCTGCTCCATAAGTACCAACTTCCTGGCAACCTTATTTTCATGAATTGTTAATTATGCGCAATTTTTGTTTAATACATGGAAACACAAAACAGCATATTAGTATTGTTTACAAATTTAAAAGGAATGGAATAAAAAAAATACATTTGTATCTTCGGCTTATTATCAAATTTGGTTAGGAAAAAATAAAGCAATCAACACTTCAATTGATGTTATATTCTTGACTTATTATTTTTTTTATCGATTTATGGGAATCATGAAACAAGGGGAAAAATCACAACGAAATCACTCAAAAACCCAAATTTGCTTACGCTTCACCAGCTTCTGCACGTTCTTCAGCACGCTCAAGATCAGCTTCAACCATAGCTAATTTACGTGCAACCTATTTATTGAAATTATAATTTCATATTACAACGTTGTTCTTTAAATTGTAAGAATTAAAAATACATAATGTTAAAGAGCTTATATTGTGTTAATGCAGCAAAATTCACACAGAAAAAAATGGTGTTATATTAATTTGAAATTTTCATGTTGATCTTCATTTAAAATTTTGATTAATGGAATGTCGATGAAAGAACTTTGTAGAACAAATGATGGTTCAACATCTTTTTTAGCACCATGGAAATGGTAATTGTCTCATCGGTGAAGATCTTACAGAAATGTGAAAAGTTATTTATAGACATACTTTGAAATTGCGTTTGTTCAGAAATTTTTGCAATTTAGAATTTTTATATGAATTGCCTTTAAGCATGTTCTTTGAAATAAAAGTCTGCTGTTCATACAGTAAAAATAAAAAAGAGCAGGTGTTAAAAAATGACTTATAGGGTTCAATTTCTTTTTAAAAAAAAGTGTTTCAAGCACGTAGTCAGGTAGGGTGAGTGGGTGACACAATAATCCTCTTTTTGAATTAACTTAAAAGTTTTGAATTAATTTGTCATTACACTTTCGAAAATTCTGACCAATACACTTGGAAGGAATAAAGGTAAAGTCAGCCGAGAATGAATGTGAAGATCAACAATGAGTTAAGCAACGAACGGGGTAAAAAATTGGTTATATTAGCAAGTTTCCTGAAATTCAAATTATCGCTTATAAAAAGAATCAAAAATGTAGAAATTCATCTCTTTAAGAAAATTAGTTTACAATATTTTATTCTGTATAAATCATTGATTAATTCATGCAGGAGTAGATGCTACATGTAAAGAGGCACTTTTTATAGTGAATCTCTATTAAATTCTCTAAATTAGAGTAGGCAAAGATTCTAAAACGAGCATTATCTTTATTAACACATTTTCTTTTTCAACATGTAGATAGGCTTAGTTTAGTCTTAAAACAATACCAGAATATGTTTAAAGAAAATGTGCAAAGTATAATGAGTTTTCGTGATAGCTAAAAGATATATTGGGTACTATTTTGTTTTGTGAACAAAAGCATTGATAAACGATATGGTTAAATGAATATTAAATATTTTTGAATAATATAAGGATATCGAGTTAAAATAGGAAAACGTATAAAAAGAAGAACTTTTTGATTTTTGATTACAATACACGCGTACTTTGAATCACAATCAAGATGACGAATAAGGCATACGTTATCATCATTGATCATTGCTTCTTGACAATATCAAAAGTGAGCTATTTGATAGGATAACATTATGTGAAGGCAAGTTATAAATTTTCATAATTCATTTATAATTTGTTATTTATGCAACACCACAGAACACAGGGTTATATTAAGTAATTTTATCTGCGTTTTGAACCTCATCGTATTTTTTGTCTGCTTCTTCTGCAAGGAAGCGAGCTTCCTTCAATTGATTTTCGAGGGCATCCATACGTTCTTCATCAGCGAGTGAACGATTTTCAAGAACTTTACGTGCACTATAAAATTTGACCAACGAAAAATAGGAACGAGATTACTTTTTATGCAACTAGCAATAAAAGTGTTTGTACGTTATTTGAAATAACTCCTAAGGTAGAGACGACCGACCATAAACAAAATTTTCCTAACCAATTCCGATAAAAAACTTTATAATTTTATGTAGACATATTAATACCTCCTCATATTTTTTATCAGCTTCTTCTGCAATTAGTTTTGCTTGTGACAATTGCGCTTCTAAGATGGCCACTCTGTCATCTTCCATATTTGTACGATTTTCCAATGCTTTTCTTATTCTAATGATGTTAATTATTTTTTATCGGTTTAGGATTGTATTTCAAATATCGGATATACGATAAACTCTCTATATTGGTTAAAGCATACAAATCGGATAACTTACCGTTCAGACTCATCAGCAGCAGCTGATGCTTCTGACAATTTTGCTGTAGCTGAAGCCAAACGTTCTTCGGAACGTTCAAGATCTTCTTCCAACAATTGGATACGACGGTTCAAAGCAGCGACTTCTGATTCAGCCTGAAAATTTTTTGTTTTGTTTTATTTATCCAGTAAGTAGTTAGGTATTTTATTATTTTCATTCACAAATGAATAATATTTCGTGAATTTTGAGAAAATTAAAAATGTATAGAGGAGTGAGAAAATTTACTGTATTTGTAATGAAGAAAAAAAAATTAACCGGTTTAAGAAATCCATCTTCATTTTCTTTTCTTGAAAAGATTTTCGTAAAAATATATGATTTGAGTGCTTAGAGCTTTCATAATGACATATTCACATTTTTTATTAGATGAACGCAGAGAGTTATTTTTTTATTTATTTAAAAAGAGACACACACATTATTTGAGCAATTACGCCAGCATAAATAGCTTAAAATTGTTTAGCGAAAAGAATCTGTATTTGACTCAACCATGCATGCAACTGTGTCCAAACAAGATTATTGAACCGATTGAATTTATTTCCGAAATTTCAATGCAGATACCGGATGTTAAACTTCAATTGTATCATTCACAATATGCATAAATAAATTACAGTCATGAACTGCCTATATCTTATGTTCAAACTCATATGTCTCGTAATTAACACAAACGAAGAAAAAAAAAATCATTTTCGCATCAAAATAAAAAAAATAATAAAAATATGATTCATGAAGAGGAATTTCAAGTAAAAATGGAGAGAAAAAATTTGAAGTTGTAGAAATCTTTAAAAAAATGACTTGAATTGAAAAGGAACAACCTGTAGCATGGTTCTCATTTAAATGTTCAACACATATTATCTTCATTGTTATTAATACAATAACATAAAATTTAGACATTATCCAATTTGCAGCCATGATTTGTGAGTGTTTAAAAACAGTGCAAAATAGTAAAAAGTATGTTTCGTGAACCATACCGTTTATGGTGATACAAAAATATCTTAATGAAAATCGACAAGTTAAAATTTCTCCTTGTAATAATTTCTCTTATAAGAAGCTATACGTAGCTAGTATGTTTAATTTTTCGCACATATGAGTAACACATGAGAGTGAGGATATATATGGAGAAAAAAAAAAAGGTTTTAAGAAATCAAAATTGAGGTGTATTAATGAATTATTGAAATTGTTGTCATTATGCACTATCATTTACTTGTTTGCAAAACCGCTATGAAATTTAATGCCAAATATAGAAAAATTATTAATGACACATACACCATCAATAATGCGGTAAAAAAAATCCGGTATAACCTTATCAATACTTATTCTATTGTCGTAGTATTGGTAATGTCTTGGTACCTAATATTACTAATAAAGTGTTTTGAAATTTTTTTTTTCTTCTGAACGTTTGTATTAAATAGATAAAGAATTTACTGATTTTTTTTTTTCATTGAAATTTATGTCTTCCGAGAGAAAAAAAAATAGCATTTCACTGACGCATTTTATCAGAATTAGTAATTAATTTAAAGAAATGACTTAAAATTGCTTACTTCTTCGCGCCTCATTGCTTCTAATTGATATTTGCGATTAAATTCCTCGCATTCATCCTTATAACGTTCCATTTCTTCTTTAGTTTGACGCATTTTCTTCTTGAGAACATCAAGAAGGGTACCTTGTTGCAAATTTGTCGTCATTTTTATTTACTTTATTATTCTTATTACGTGAGAGTTTTGAAAAATAAACTTTTTTATTCCTTAGTAATTTGATTTTTTTTTTACTAAGTGGTTTTCGCACACCGCAACTTTTTTTTTTATTGATTGAGATATTTAAGTGAAAAATTTCGACACAATTTTAAACTTTTACTATCACAAAATGCAACTAATGTATTAAACTGAATATGGGGAATGATTATTTTACTATAAATCGGGGAAATGAATGAATTATCACTGTAATTTTGTTAAAATTCACTCGCGGAATGACTTGATGATCCAATTGAAAAAAATGGGCGAAACCTATTGACTGTGTGCATAGAAAATGTCAAGTCATGAGATGTAGCTTATTTTTCATAATCGCAAGTACGGGAGTAATGTTAAATCGTGTGACATGACATATTAATCGTGCCTTATTTGAGAGCCTCTCAAATCGTACGTCTTTATGGAGAAAAAACTAAGTTTTTTTTTCGAAAGTAAAATGGAACGTTATGTTATGTTAAGCATAAATCTTTAAGCTTATAAGGAAATTTTTGTTTAGAATTATTTTCATAGCTATTTCCTAATATAGAGAAAATCTTGAAACCCCGAATCAAACGCAAATGTTTAATCGATAAAATCTCATAAATTTCCCACGTTTAGAATTTTTAAACTACTAATGAGTGAATCAGTATAGGAATTGAGAATAAAGAATTTCCTTACTCAATGAGTTATTTTTAGGAAACGTTTAAATTGTTGTCGTCAGTCTTACCCTTTTGAGCTGATTATTCATTATATTCTGTAGCTCATTTCGAATAATATTAAATTTCATCATTGAATCGGAGCTAAAGATTGATCGACCAAAGGCTAAGCCTGGATAATCAGCACATTTTTTATGTCTTCTGTTTTCCCGTTCAGCTATTACTTCAGTCCTCTCACTAGTACATCTTAATTTTGCAAGCTCTGCTGTCTCTTCATCATCGTCGTCAACTGCCATCTCATTGGAATCCATTAGTGTTGATTTTGGACGTTTTTTTCTTAATTCAGAACCCTTTGATGTCTTCCTACTCTGATCTTTCTTCTCTGATAAAGGCAATGTATTTTCATCAGCCCTATTCTCCATAATAGATTCATTACTTGATTCCTGATTATAATCGTAAGTCTGATCACATATTAAATCTCCTATACTAGAACTAGTTATATTGGATGATCCTAAATTGGTTGAAATATCTACAGATGTGTCTGAGCTGTGATGAGGGCTATGTGTAAATAATGTTTCTAAGTTCCTTCCTTCTCTCAGTGCCTTGATAATTTCAGTAGTTGGAACATTGGATCGGAAACCAATATTCTTCGGATGATGCTGATGGCCTCTCCGAGATCGTTGAGCACTTCTATCACCCATTATACTATTTTGTTTTCCATTGGTTGATATTATTTTTATCTCATTTCTTATTTTACTTGAACTGGACTCTACAAAAATGTTTTGCTATTTTTATTGGAGACTTTTGGGTTTGTCATACTACATTTCATCAATTTTACAAGACTGATCGTTATTTATCGTTGCCTGCATTTGTGCAAACGAAAAGAAAATTTCTTCTTCAATTTTTTTTAAAAATTAATGGACTCATGGAAAATTTTTTAAAAATGTTGGAGCATTTCCAAATTTCGCAAATAAAGTTAATATCAGTCATATATATATAAACCTACATAAATATATATGTTGTAAAATTGAGTAGAAAAGTAGGGAATGTCAACGTGTTAAATGACTTACTCTTGGTATTTGTAATCTTAATGTGCCTCCTACTTTTTGTCAATCGATTTTCTTTTTCTTTGATTCGTTTTGAGCAGTCAAATGTCTTGAATTGTGGCGTAGAAATCTGAATTTTATTTGAATAGCTTAAAGCACGTCTGCTACTGTTACGATTATTTTTACTAAAAATACCGATCATCATTACACATTTCTACGATCTTCCCTCACAAAAGTTTTTCTCTATGTCGATTTGCCTACATGTGCTGTAGGATATGACTTTTTTGTGTGTATAATTTTCTCTCGTTTTTAACAAAAAAAAAAAAAATGTTCAGAACGACTGAAAAGTTGAAAATTTAAAGTAAAGGAGAAGAAAAAAATAGAAGGAGGATAGAGATTTGCTCAAACTGAGTTTGAATGAGTGGAATTTTGTAATATTTCTAAATTAAAGTTATGATTATAAAACTCGCTATTATCGCTCGCATTTATGTGTCTATTTTTAAAAAAATTTCACGTTTCTTCGTTACTTCAAGTCTTTCGTTTTCCGAGATTCTTCTCGTATGAAAAATCTTCTCATTTCCTTGAGTCATTCAAGCTGACCCGAAATTTCTTTTTTTGGGTCGGTGTAGATGAAAATTCTATAAATAGCACTCATTGACGATTCTTTATTATTATTAAGATCCAATATGTATGTAATATTTCCATTTTCTTTTCATACATTCACAAAAAAAAAAATATTTCTTCATGAACATAAAAAAAAGAATGTTTTTAATAGAATTGAGGCACAAGACACTTTTCTCACTTATACAGTTTTTTCATCGCTTTAAAATTTTTCTTATTTTGCATTGCATTTTTGTGCCAAGGAATTATGATAATAAAAAATGGATATTTGTACTCACATTTTGAAGAGCCTTTTCCTTCTCTTCGAGTTTACCATTGACAAGAGTTTCCTGTTCTTGTGTTTGATCCAAATCATTTTCAATTGCTTGAATCTTCTTTTGCAATGTGCGGGCTTCTTCTTCAGCTTTTTCTGCGCGCAAGTTAGCATCACGAGCTTGGTTCTCGCAGAGAAGGGCACGATCTAAGGCATTATCCTTCTCAAGCTTCATCGCTTGCATCTTTTTCTTGATGGCATCCATTTTGGCAGATTTATTCGATTACTTTCACAATTAAATACTCAAACTGTAAAACTAAAATTAAAGATTACATCAGAATTTTTTTGTGACTTTTCTTAAGCTTAAAGTTATTAAAAATTCAGTTCTTTTGACACTTTTGGTTTTGATTTTTTTTTCAACATCTCATTTTTGTTAGTTCATGTTTTAGATTGAGATCTTGTAGACCAAAAGTATGTTATTAAAAATTAAAATTTTGAGAAAAATTATCCATGAAATTTATATTAAATTTCCTTATAAAATTTAAAATTTTTTAAAGATAAAAAGAATTGCACTTCACATCATAGACAATATTTTTTAGTATATCTTCACTTACACTTGAATCTGAATCCGCGACTTGAACAGTTTTGATGGCGAACTGAAGAAAAACGTTACTAATTTTCTTCAATCTTGTTATTTGAAGATTTTTCTTTTTACATTTTCTCTTCAAAAACGAATCTAACGCATACATAAATTCCTTTTTTTTCTATCCCCACCATTTCCCACCACTTTTTTTTAAGAAAATTCATTTTCTTCGAGGCAAAGAAAAATTAAAAGATGAAAAATAAAATCGAATGAATCTCACTGACTTTGAAAAAACAAGAAATTTACATCTTTTTCTTTTGCTCACACATATTGCTGGAAAGTAATTGGGAATAATATAGGCGTACTGAGTAAAAGAAGAGATGGTTGAATTTATACAGTTTATTATGTAATTAATTAAACATATTTATGTATTTTAATGTTTATGCACATCAAATCAATAGTTGAAAATAATCAGAAACACTGATAACATATAAAATTATTTTATGGTCCATTAACATTAAATTTCCTTTATTTATTGGGCTGCACGTCTTAGATATTCTGAGGTTTGTGGGTAGCTAAAGCTTGACGTAGGAAAGTATTCATCTGCTTTTGATTCCAAGAATTTTAAAAAATCTGCCAAATGTCCAATTAAAACTCGGATATTATTTTTGTCCAAAGTAGTGAATGATAAAACAGGACCAAGTTTCACGAAAAGCCTTAAGAGATGGAAAGACCCATAGATTTGAGACATTGGTTTATCTGGATACTTATTCAAAATATCTGAATATTGAGTCCTCTCAACTTTATACAGCAGTTGTGATCCCAGCATTACGTTAAAGTATTCCTAAAATATAACTCAAGAGTTACAAGATTTTAATGCATCAAAAATTTGTGTTTTTTACTCACCAAAATCCCATTGGAAATGTCCTCACATGATATTCCACCTTTGCTACTGGATTTGGATTTTTTGTACTGGGCAACAATATCATCAACAGTAATCTTTGCTGGCAACTCAATCAATTTACTCTGCGAATTGATTGCATGCCAGTCGTCAACTAATCGTGACTTTAAATCTTTTGGAATTGTAATAGTAATTTCAGGTTTTGAAATCTTTTCTTCAGGACTTTCATTTGATGACGCACTCGTATCTAGTCTTTGACGTTTCCTTTTATGCAAATCATCATCTGTGATACTGTTTGTTTTTGAAATTTCCTTGCTCACGTTTGTTGATGAAGTTGATGGTTTGACACTTGATCCTCTCGATTTTGTTAATTCTTTAGTTATTGGCATAGTCGTTGATATATCCTTTGATGGAGTCGAAGATCTTGATGTTGCATCGTCTTTTGATGAGTCTCTGTTTGTTTTTAAAAGAAGCGGCATCATGTATCAGTGTTTGTGACACATTTGTTTAAACTTTATGCTACTTACGCTTTTTTTGCATTTTTTGATGCTTTTTTTGTTGATTTGGCAGAAGTCTCTACTTTTTTTTGAATCTCTTTCTGCAACTGTACATTTGCTTCATTATACTTTAAGACTCGATTTTCTGGAACCCATTCATCCCAGCTTTTGTTAGGAAATTTAATAAAAAAATTGTTATCAAGCAAGTCAGCATAAATACTGAATATCTTTATTTATATTTTGGTAACGACAAAACTTACTTTTTACTCCATCCTGCGTAATGTATGTAATATTTTACTACTTTATCCTTCACCTGAGTTTTGAGTAGTTTTGCTTCGTATATTAACTGTCCATGATAGCATAAAACTTTTTCTCCTTAAAAATATTATAAAAAAATGTAAACAAAAATTTGAAATAAATACATAAAATATTTTGATTTTTTCCATTGATAATCCAATAAATCTTGTTTAATTATAATCCTTGCCATAATCCTTACCTTCAGTGAATTTTACTTGAGACATAATGAATTAAAAAAAGCTTTTTTTTTACTTTAAAAACTAATGCAAAAAGTTGAATTTATGTTAAAATTGTATGATTATATGGTTCTAAGTTTTGTCTATGTATTAGTGCAACTATAAACCAACAACGTTGGATAAATCCATCAAACTGACGACTATGCACTTCTAATTAGTTTCAAGCTTCAAATACTGTAAGTTTATGAAGATTTATGATAATATTTGTGATTCATAAACTGTCTAAGTTTGTCAAATTTGCCTGTTGAAATTCTGTAACTTTTTCTTAAAAACTCAAAAAAACAACCGTTAAATCATGAAGCATTTTAATTACCTTTTTCTCACCAAAATCGAACTTGAATCCAGTTCAACTGAAAATGTAAGAATTAAAAAAGTACCGATACTGATAAATTAAACTTCTGTCGTTCATAAAATTATGTTTCATGAATTATCTACAGGAAACATGCTGAGATGATAAGGAAACTGACAAATTTCTAATATTATCTATGTTTTTAACAGCAGCTGGAGCATAAATTGGAAAATCACTCAAAAAGTTATATTTGCAGGACAAAATGTTTTTATTTTTAAAAGTTTTTATACATTTTAAGTGTGTAATGAAAAGAAAACTATAAATTTGTATATAACCATACAATAAAAATTAGAATACGGATTTAAAACTATATGCGAAAGTTAATATAATTGAAATAAAAATAATATGTAATTTTAGAGGTCATTCCATTCATCTAACAATTCAGTTATTATTTTAGATTTTTCATTTGAAGGCGAGTCCTTTTTCTCCTCATGATCTTTAATCTTTTCATCGTCAATAGGCTCCTTTTCCTCAACTATTGCAGGACTGCTATCGTTTTCTGGTGTTTCCAAATTGTTTTTATCTTTAACTTCATCTTCAACACTCTTATTTTCTTCGTCAATTTTTTCTGAGCTCTCGTCAATTTTTTTACTGTCACATTCCCAGTCCTGCAATAAACTATTAAGCTCCTCATTTGTTTCATTCTTAGTATCCAGCTGTTCGATCTTTTCCTCAACCTTCTCAGTATCATTCTCTGTTATTATATCTTCTGGTTGCTTTACTTCATCCTGTGACATTTCTTCCGTCCAATCATCTTCTAAATCAGCAATTAATTTTAGTCGTGATTTGTTGGATTCATCATCACTTTTCTCTCTTACAGTGCCATCTTGAAAAACCACTTCAGCATGCTCAATCTCTTCAGGCTTAATTGTTGTACTAATATTGTCAGTAGGTTCTGTCAACGAATTTGTTGGTTCACTTAGCATTACCATGATACCATTATTTTGATCCTCTACATTAAGTTGTCTCTGATCAAGGACCATAACGACATTATCTGACAACGTTGCTCCTTGCTGTTGGAGCTGCTGTAAAATTTCTTCTTTCTGTTCCGGTGTTAAAACCATCTCTGTGCCATCTTCAGCTACTAAGCGTGTAATAATTTCAGTACTTTCCTCCTTTTTAGGATCTTCATACTCATTGTGCATTTGTGCAAGCTGTTTCTCTATATTAAACTGATCATCCATAACAACATTATCAACTAAAGCTAAGCTAGTTGCAATTCCTGTTGCGACGTTTGATAAAGCTTCAGCTTCCGAGCTGCTTGATATAACAGAGCTTGTTACTATGTTAACAGATTGATCCGCTGGTATTTCTATATTTGATAATATTTCAATCTTATTGCCACCATTATTTCCTTGCTCTACAGAAGAACCTGAGGTTCCTGCAGCAGGCTCATACTCTTCATCCTCACTAAAATCCATCATGCCATCATTTTTCGCTTTATGTCTGTGAACTGCACGTAGATGAGCATGCAAGAGGAACTCTTTATTGAACACTTTTGAGCAATAAGAGCATTTCTGTTGGAATTCTTTATGAACTTCTCGTTTATGTTTCATCAGCAAGTCCTCTTTTTGTGTCACAAATACACAATTTTTTGTTGTACATCTAAATAATGGCACATCTGATGGTGGATTGATGTTGTGTGCTATTAACTGATGCTGAATCAATTCGATTCTCTTTGCTGGTTTTAAGCCACAATGTTCACAAATTCTCGGATCAATTTTTTGCTTATGTACGTTTATTAAATGAGCACGGAATTTTTTGTATGTAGGTATTGATATTGGTCTGCCACCAGTTCCGCTAAAATAAGATAAATAATTGTTGAATATAAATATATTTAGAATATTAAAATTATTATGTCCTTACCATTCAAGGCAAAGCCAAGGACCTTTCTGATTTTCAGCTCCCAGTCGTATGAGTTCATGCATCGTCTTCGCATCAATTTTTTTGGGCTGTTGGCGTTGTTGCTGCTGTTGAGGTGTTGATGTGACAATTTTCGCATCATTGTCTGTTTTAACAACACGCACAATTGCTGTAGTTTGCGATGAATTTGATTGCGAAGGTTTTTGCATAATTTTCAGCTTTATATTTTTTGGGTTCTTTACCAAATTCGGATACTTCTTTAGAACTTCACCAAGGATCTTTGCATGATCTATATTTCCACCACTACAATCGCTGACAGTAATTTGCTTAGTTGTTTGTTTAACAATTGTTGAAGGTGAATTTTTCTGATTTTTCGAGTATTCGTCGTCAGACCCTTCATCATCAAAATATTGATCACCATCATAGTCATCATCGTCAGAGGCTTCTTCCTCTTCATGAATGCTTTCTGAAACTTGTGGAGCAGCTTTAGTATCTTCTGTAATCAGTTCGTTGCGTTGACTTTGTGCTTCAGCGAGTTCCTTTATATCATCCAAATTTGGTTTTTTACTGGGAGGAGCAGTTGTTGGCAATCCTGTAGTTGCTCTTTTATTTGTATATCCTCGACGAAGGTTTTCGAACGTTGAATTTTCGTCTTCTTTTTTCAACTGAGATGCTGTTTGCAAAGGTTTACTCTCATAAGAAATGCTTTCAAATGATCCTTCCGTGTCTGGTACAACAACCTCATCAGGCACAATAAATCGTGAAGGACGAGACACATTCTTGTCAGTTTGATAACGTGACACAATTTGTATCGGCTCAGGAATATTGGATTTATTCGGCGATACATGCTTAATTATCGTTTGACCTTGTTTGTAAATAACTGTTTTTGTTGGTAATGGTTTTTGATGAAATACTTTTGGCTGTGAACGATTTGCACCTGCAGCATTCTTGTTTAATAAAACTGGTTGTGGTGATTTTGTTACCGATGACGTCTCACGATGGGCTTCCAGTAATTTTGATAAAACAGTCATGTTCATTTCACGAGACGTCTTTAGTAGTTTTTCATACATACTATAATGAAACTCCAAAGAGCCGGTGTACATAAAACTAAATGAAATTAAAATTGTGTCAGTACTATTGTTTTTAAAAAAATATTTGTGCTATACATACTTCACAATCGGCAAAATTGTGTCTGCCTGTAGATCTTTTGGCATTCTAAAACAGTATTTAAATAAGTTAAATAATTTTATAAATGATTAAAACTAATTCATTGGTTACATTAAAATATCTTCGACCATCTCGCAAGTTTGCTCTAGCATGTTGAAGTAGTCTGAAAAAAATTAAAATGTCAATCAAACTGAAAGATATGCATATAAATATAAAAAAACTTTTAAAAAACTATAGAAGTACCTGTACATGCTGATAGCACAAGTCGATGAACTTTCAATTGTGAATTGTCCAAAAATTGGAGTGTGAGATCACAATAATCTGTTTTATTGAAGAAATTAAGGAGTTTTTGAAGAAAAAATGTTCCCCAGTTGTCAACTTTAACTATAAATGGAAAAAGAGACTCTAAAATTTGTAAACAAACATTTTAAGTTATTTGATGCTTGAAGAAAGTGTGTATATGTAAGCCAAATATAACTGTTTATTGAAATTATGGATGTTTTCAATCTGAATTTAAGAGAAAAAAACATACTCATTACTAGCATCAAATTAGTTTATTTAGCATAGCTAATGAATAGTTCATGAGGTAGTTGATGTGTTGCTTGACAGAAAAAGTAGGTTACAGTGATAAGTAATGGTATATGGGAAGAATGTAAGGAGCACAAATATTTATGCCACATATTAATTTTACTATAAAAGGACGGACAGACAAATAATTGAAGATGCCAATTATTTCGATTAATGGATCAATAATAAATTTCTTCAGCATTGGTTTTAAGTTAGATATCTAGTATATATTTCATTGATATAAACATAAGATTTGTCTTAACTTCTTGAGCTATTTATGCTTCGCGTAATGAACGCTATATTTCCATCTCACTCTCACACACTTTTTTCTACAAACCTGATCTTAATGTGTCTCGCTGCACTCTATTCATACTGGATGTTATTATTTATATTTTTTATTTATTAAAAAGTGTAGTGTTTTTATTTCTTATATATAATTTCACGTTATTTTCACACAAAAATGCCTGAAAAATTTGATTCTAATTAGAAGCCATTTCTTTGATATTTTACTATATTGTTCAATATGCAAAGTCTTTACTTAATCTTTATCGTTTTCAGCTATCACTTATTAGTTTATTCTGCACTTTTTAATCAAGAAAAGGACTATTTAAAACGGCTTTATGATAATTTTTAAAAAAAGTGAAATTCTGATTTTTTAAAAAGCTTTCCGTTGAGCTTTATTTCGACATTTTTTTCTATGTCTTATAGCTTTTTCCCTTTTCAACTCAAACCATCTCGAAACCGTTAAATTATACTGACTTTAGATATAAAAAATATCTTTAACATATTTTTTGTTCATAGAATATTTTGATAAAAAGTTTCTCAAAATTAACGAAACTTTTTTAAATTTATTAGAGTTGTTTTAAAGTTTCCATTTCTTTCAGAATTGATTTTGAGAATTGAAAAAAAAAACCAAAATTTTTGACTTATAAAATTATTTTTAATCAGTTTTTCTCAATAAGTTTTAAAATAAAGTTTTTAAATACAAATTTTTTATATTATTTTTATTTTTGATGGAATGATTTGACTTTAATCCTAATTTCGTAAAAGAATTTTTCCGAAATAACAATTTAAAAAACATAAATAATAGTCCAACATAACAACATATTTGAAATCATATATCTCCTATACTCTCTCGTGCCTCTCTTTTTTTCATTCGGTCCTCTTGGAAATTTTAGTTCAATTATCATGAAAAAGTAAAAATATATTAATATAAGAAATTAAGATTAAATTAATATTGCTGAATTTTACCAAATTTGCTAGATTTTGCTGAATTTGTTAAAAACTACTAAATTTACTTTAGTAAGTAAGTGCAAAAGTTGTGTAACTTTGAAAATCAAAATTTTCTTCAACTTTTTGTTCTTGTTTTTTAAGCATATGGATTTTTTAATCAATTGAAGTTCGAAATGTGGATAATGCATACCTTAACTTGTAAACTTATATCAATTAACAAGAAATTTCATTAATTCAATTTTAAAACAGTTTGAATATTGATTTTTCAAAACTTCCTCCCGTTAATGCTGTATCGTTGAATTTCAATAAATTTTAATGTTTTGATGCATTAAAAGTCGAGCATTAATTAATACTTATAAGTATTTTTAAAATCTTATCACTTTATTGTGAATATGTTTAATAATTAATAAAAAAAATTAGAGTATAAAATGGGAATAAATATAATACTCTATGTAGGAGGTAACAGCTTGCGCAATGCTTTAAAACATTCAAGATTGTGCAGTTAACAATGGACTAAATTTCTATGTTTATTGAATATCACATAGAATATATGCCATAAATTTAACATACAATCATTAATTATTTCATTTATATTTTACAGATAATTCGCCTCATACAAAAGACAATAAATGCTCTTGATATAAGGAATTAGTAGGATTCTATGTTTTATGATAGTCTTATAATGATTGATATGAAATAAGTAAAAATGAGCGATCAATTATCTGTAGAGAAATTAAATTTTGAAAGCGGTATGATTATTAAATTTTGCATATTATGATATAACTAACATGATTTATTTTATAGATTCAATCGTAAAACGATTGCAAATATTAGAAGCTTTAGTAAATGGCACTAATATAAAAGATATCATTAGATATATTTCACATTTAAATAATACGATTGGTGTTGAATCAGCGATCTTGAATTGTGTTACAAACTTAGAAAATGATTTCCAAGGCTCAGATAAGTTCATAAATGTTGAATCGTTGCTTGATGCATTGATAATATTTTACGATGAGTGCTGCCATTCATCTCTTCGTCGTGAAAAAACTGTATCAGATTTTTTAGATTTATGTGAGTATGATTGTATTGTATTCTTATTAAGTTAATATAATTCAACAATTCTTTATGTATAAAAAAATATTATTTTAGTTAAGAACATTGTGACGATTATAAAAGATCTGCGTCTGACAAAGAATGATTTTGAAGTTATCAAAACTATTGGACGGGGTGCATTTGGTGAAGTGTGTTTAGTGAGAATGAAAAATTGCAACGAAATTTTCGCAATGAAAATATTGAATAAATGGGAAATGCTGAAACGAGCAGAAACTGCATGTTTTAGAGAGGAGAGGGATGTATTAGTGTTCGGTGATAGGAGATGGATTACAAATCTTCATTATGCATTTCAAGATGATCATAATCTCTATTTAGTTATGGATTATTATTGTGGAGGTGATCTGTTGACATTGCTGAGTAAATTTGAGGACCGTTTGCCAGAAGAAATGACCAAATTCTATATTGCTGAAATGATTTTAGCCATCGATAGTGTCCATAAATTGAACTATATTCATCGTGACATAAAACCAGACAATTGTCTATTAGATGCTAATGGACATATTCGTTTGGCTGATTTTGGCTCATGCTTAAGATTGGGAGCAAACGGAAAAGTTCAATCAAATGTTGCCGTTGGTACACCAGATTACATAAGTCCTGAAATTCTTAGAGCTATGGAAGATGGCAAAGGAAGATATGGAACTGAATGTGATTGGTGGTCTCTTGGTGTATGCATGTATGAAATGCTTTTTGCTGAAACTCCATTTTATGCTGAAAGTCTGGTTGAAACTTATGGCAAGATTATGAATCATAAAATGAGTTTCGATTTTCCACCTGAAGATGAAGATTTTCCTGTAAGTCAAAATGCAAAAAATCTTATGAAAAGCCTAATATGTTCACAAGAGACTAGATTGGGCCAAAATGGTATTGATGATTTTAAGAATCATTTATGGTTTGAAGGAATTAATTGGGATACTATAAGAAACAGTTCAGCACCTTTCATTCCAGAAGTATCAAGTCCTACAGATACAAGTAATTTTGATGTTGAAGACTCTGAAAATAGGATTCTTCAGGAAGCAGTTCCTCCAACAGGAAATCCAATTTTTTCTGGAAATCATTTGCCATTCATCGGTTTTACGTACACAAAAAATATTAACAGTTGTATTGAGTTACAAAAAATCCAGCCCTCAATCGTTCCACAACTGCCAGAGGCTTCACATTCCATTTACAAACAGAGTACAAATCCATTTCAACAAGACACCCTTAGTCCCGAAAGTACGAGGAAACTTCTAAATGATGTTAATTTCTTAAGGAAACAAAATTGTGATTTGGAAAGTCAATTGAAATATTATGAAAATCAGCATTTTAATAGTGGCGGTGTTGACAAAACGGATGGACAATTAGAGGCAGAAAAAATTATAAGAGCTCTGAAGTATGAAAAAGAAGAGCTTCAAAAGGAACGTATGGATTTAACGGAAAGACTTAATTCTCAAGAAAAGGAATTAAAAGATGCCATTAAGCAAAGATCGCTGGCAATGAATGAATATACTGAAGTGACAGATAAACTTTCAGAATTGAGAACTCAAAAGCAAAAAATTTCTAAACAAGTTCGTGACAAAGAAGAGGAGTTAGAAGTTGCCATGCAGAAAATTGATGCATTGAGAAATGAGGTGAGAAGAATTGAGAAAGGTAGAAGAGAAATGGAACTTAAAATTCAGGAATTTGAAACTACAAAAGAAAGACTTGAATTTGGAAGGCAGGACAGTCGTTTATCATCAACTTCAGATTTAGGTTCATCCATTGGATTATCATCTGAATCATTTAGATTAGAAATTGAAAGAATGGAAATTGATTTTAAGGATAAGCTAAATCAACAGCAATTCCGATATAATCAAGAACTAGCACAACTTCGTAACCATTTGGATGAAATTGAAAGTCAGAAAAATATGCTTCAAATACAATTAGAAGAGCGTGTTAGAAACGATTTGACAAGCAATGATCCAAACGAGTTTGCGGAATTCAGAATGAGGCTTGAAAGAGATAAGAAACTCTTACTAGAAGATAACAGAAAACTCATTGCGGAATTAGAAATGTTGAGTGAAAACAATCGACAGTATCAAGCAGAAAGACTTCAAATGGAAAATAATTATGAAGAACTGAGAGTTAAAAGACAAGCTATTGCACAATGTGAGCATCAAATATCTGAAATCATCCAATGGGTTACTGATGAAAAGGATGCACGTACATATTTGCAAGCTTTAGCAACAAAAATGACTGAAGAACTTGAATATATGAAACAATCAAGTCAAAACTCATCAGAAAAAAATTGGAGAAACAGACGTTCACAGAAAATGGAAAAGATGGAATTGCTCAATTTACAAAGCTCATTACAAAGCGAGATTCAGGCAAAAACAGCCATAGCAGATGAACTTAGTAAAACGAGAACGGATTTTATTGCTTTACAACGGTAAGATTTTTTAATATCGAGGACACCCCACTATGGGATAAAATCGAAATTTTTTTCCAAAAATTATTTTATTGGCTTATTTGAAAGGTTTTTATCCAAGGAATCAGAACCTATTTTAATGTTGGCCCAAAGTGCAGCAGTGCTGGAGATATAGCCCGAAATGTATTTTTTTGACCTTCGATAGTAAATATTTTCAATTTATCAGAGTTTTTTCTTGTCTCAACCAATTTTCATGAAATTTTTTTAAATGACAGATATAAGCCGAAACTTTATATAAATATCAGTCACATAAGATTTACTTCATGGAAAGTGCTTAAAAATTGACGAAACTTCAAATGTTAGTAGTACGACACACTTTTTTTGAGTATGTGAATTTCTGATGCATATAAATGTTTTTCTTTTTTCATTAAAATATAGCCCTTTACCAGGTCTACAAAAAAAATATCCCTTTCAAGGTTTAAAATTATATTTATGCATCAAAAAATTACGGTTTTTTACTATGTTTTGACAATTGACTTCAATTGACTATAACTGCATATTCCAAGTGAGTGGAGAGAGAAGTTTTAACTATTTTATATAGTCCTCACTTGTATCTTTTTAAAACTGTGAAAACCTGGAAAAAAGTTCCGCCAAATTTTCAACTTTGAACCATTTGAAACATGTCATCTGCATGCACCTCAAAAGTCTTTTTCAACTTTTTTCATCAAAATCATGTCCAAACTTGATAAATCTTAAAGGAATGAAAGAAAATAGTGTTTTTGATATTTTAAAAATCAATTTGAGTTTTTGGCATGGACTTTGATCATTTTTATTTGAAATGTCATCATTTTCCATTTTCAATGAGAAGTAAATGACTTTAAATACACTATATGCTTGACAAAAAGTATTTGTATTACCTTTTATGTCAAGCTGCTTAAATTACCTTTCCAAAGATATATAAAATGTCATATATGAGTACAATGTCCCTGAATAATGTTGAAAAAACTGAAAAATTACTCAAAATTCGAGGTGTTTGAAGAACCATACTTAACATTTTTGCTCAAAACTATATGAAATCTCAAGTATATATTATGAATTTGGTACTGTTGGAAAGATATGCATTACAAAAAGTAATATTTGTATGTGATTTATGTCAGAATTATGTCAATTCATATAAAACAACTTAAAATATTTTTGAGCAAAGAACCAAGTAGGAAATACATTTTCAATTATGAACTTGGGACAGGTCTAGTCAAAATCTAGTTTTTCACTTTTTTTTCTTCGAGGATAAATCCAAATACAGTAAAACTTTGTATGAGCATTCTAATCCTCAGGTCACATATTTCTGAATTAATATAAATCATTTTTTTGGACAAAATTTTATGTCACGTTGTTTTTGAATGTACAACCAAATTCATAAAATTTGGGTCTGACGACATTCATGTTTTTGAATTTACAACCAAATTTATAAAATTTGGGTCTGACGACATATAAAATACATTTCTTCCTTTAGATATTTAAAACTGTTTTGTATAAATATTGGTATACTTACTAAAAGTTTCACTGTAATTGGATAAACCTTCGAAGAAAAAAAGTGAAAAACTAGATTTTGACTAGACCTGTCCCAAGTTCATAATTGAAAATGTATTTCCTACTTGGTTCTTTCCTCAAAAAAATTTTAAAATGTTTTATTTGTATTTTTTATAAGCACTAGAATATTTATGCAAAGTTTCAATCCATTCGGATAAACCTTTGAAGAAAAAAGTGACAAAATTGATTTTGACTAGGGTCGCCCCTAGTCCAAAATTGAAAATGTATTTCCTTCTTGGTTCTTTGCTCAAAAAAATTTTAGGATGTTTTATTTGTATTTGTTTTAAGCATTAGAATATTTATGCAAAGTTTCAATCCATTTGGATAAACCCTCGAAGAAAAAAGTGACAAAATTGATTTTGACTAGGGTCGCCCCTAGTCCAAAATTGAAAATGTATTTTCTACTTGGTTCCTTCCTCAAAAAAATTTCAGAATGTTTTATTTTTGTATTTGTTTTAAGTACTAGAATATTTATGCAAAGTTTCAATCCATTTGGATAAACCCTCGAAGAAAAAAGTGAGAAAATTTATTTTGACTAGGGTCGCCCCTAGTCCAAAATTGAAAATGTATTTCCTACTTGGTTCTTTGCTCAAAAAAATTTTAGAATGTTTTATTTGTATTTGTTTTTAACACTAGAATATTTATATAAAGTTTCAATTCATTTGGATAAACCCTCGAAGAAAAAAGTGACAAAATTGATTTTGACTAGGGTCGCCCCTAGTCCAAAATTGAAAATGTATTTCCTATTTGGTTCTTTGCTCAAAAAATTTTAGGATGTTTTATTTGTATTTGTTTTAAGCACTAGAATATTTATGCAAAGTTTCAATCCATTTGGATAAACTTTCGAAGAAAAAATTGAGAAAATTGATTTTGACTAAGGTGGCCCCTAGTCCAAAATTGAAAATGTATTTCCTACTTGGTTCTTTCCTCAAAAAAATTTTAAAATGTTTTATTTGTATTTGTTTTAAGCACTAAAATGTTTATGCAAAGTTTCAATCCACTTGGATAAACCCTCGAAGAAAAAAGTGAAAAAATTGATTTTGACTAAGGTCGTCCCTAGTCCAAAATTGAAAATGTATTTCCTACTTAATTCTTTCCTCAAAAAAATTGTAAAATGTTTTATTTGTATTTGTTTTAAGCACTAGAATATTTATGAAAAGTTTCAATCCATTTGGATAAACCCTCGAAGAAAAAAGTGAGAAAATTGATTTTGACTAGGGTCGCCCCTAGTCCAAAATTGAAAATGGGTTTCCTTCTTGGTTCTTTCCTCAAAAAAAATTTAAGATGTTTTATTTGTATTTGTTTTAAGCACTAGAATATTTATGCAAAGTTTCAATCCATTTGGATAAACCCTCGAAGAAAAAAGTGAGAAAATTGATTTTGACTAGGGTCGCCCCTAGTCCAAAATTGAAAATGGGTTTCCTTCTTGGTTCTTTCCTCAAAAAAAATTTAAGATGTTTTATTTGTATTTGTTTTAAGCACTAGAATATTTATGCAAAGTTTCAATCCATTTGGATAAACCCTCGAAGAAAAAAGTGAGAAAATTGATTTTGACTAGGGTCGCCCCTAGTCCAAAATTGAAAATGGGTTTCCTACTTGGTTCTTTGCTTAAAAAAAATTTAAGATTTTTAATTTGTATGTTTTGTAAGCACTAGAATATTTATGCAAAGTTTCAATCCATTTGGATAAACCCTCGAAGAAAAAAGTGAGAAAATTGATTTTGACTAGGGTCGCCCCTAGTCCAAAATTGAAAATGTATTTCCTACTTGGTTCTTTGCTCAAAAAAATTTTAAGATTTTTAATTTGTATTTGTTTTAAGCATTTGAATATTTATGCAAAGTTTCAATCCATTTGGATAAACCCTCGAAGAAAAAAGTGAGAAAATTGATTTTGACTAGGGTCGCCCCTAGTCCAAAATTGAAAATGGGTTTCCTACTTGGTTCTTTGCTTAAAAAAAATTTAAGATGTTTTATTTGTATTTGTTTTAAGCACTTGAATATTTATGCAAAGTTTCAATCCATTTGGATAAACCCTCGAAGAAAAAAGTGAGAAAATTGATTTTGACTAGGGTCGCCCCTAGTCCAAAATTGAAAATGTATTTCCTACTTGGTTCTTTGCTCAAAAAAATTTTAAGATTTTTAATTTGTATTTGTTTTAAGCATTTGAATATTTATGCAAAGTTTCAATCCATTTGGATAAACCCTCGACAAAAAGTGAGAAAATTGATTTTGACTAGGGTCGCCCCTAGTCCAAAATTGAAAATGGGTTTCCTATTTGGTTCTTTGCTCAAAAAAAATTTAAGATGTTTTATTTGTATTTTTTATAAGCACTAGAATATTTATGCAAAGTTTTAATCCATTTGGATAAACCCTTGAAGAAAAAAGTGACAAAATTGATTTTGACTAGGGTCGCCCCTAGTCCCAAAAAAAATCACAATGAACTTTTAATTTGAAAAATTCGTAAGAAAGGAAAGTATTTTGCTTTTTCTGAAGCAACGGCTGTTCCTATCTTGCCCAAAAACAATACAGCTCTTCTATAGAGCACCACGGATCAAATGTAAAAAACTAGAAGTCTCTACGATGGCTCGTTATTGAGATTTTCTGCCGATTAACTTGCTTGCTTGCTTGCTTTCAGAAAGCTTTTCTTTTGATTTTCTCATCAACGCCGCAACCAATTTGAAGTCTGTTTTTTTTTTGCATAATATGTAAAATTTCAGGCACAAACTTTTCTTTTTCATACATTTATAGCTAAAATGCTTTGTTAACTCACAAAATCCAAAAAACTGATTTTTCAATCTGAACAAAAACAAAACATTCACACGTGAAAACGGTGTGAATATAAAAATATAATTTTAAACCTTGAAAGGGATATTTTTCTTGTAGACCTGGTAAAGGGCTATATTTTAATGTAAAAAAGAAAAACATTTAAATGCATCAGAAATCCACGTACTCAAAAAAAGTGTGTCGTACTACTAACATTAGAAGTTTCGTCAATTTTTAAGCACTTTCCATGAAGTAAAACTTATGTGACTGATATTTATATAAAGTTTCGGCTTATATCTGTCATTTAAAAAAAATTTCATGAAAATTGGTTGAGACAAAAAAAGTTTTGATAAATTGAAAATATTCACTATCGAAGGTCATAAAAATACATTTCTCCAGCTCTGCTGCACTTTGGGCCAACATTAAAATAGATTCTGATTCATTGGATAAAAACCTTTCAAATAAGCCAATAAAATAATTTTTGGAAAAAAATTTCGATTTTATCCCATAGTGCACCCCCCCCCCCCCCTGGCACATAATTTGTACCAATTGATACATTACACCTCATTTTTTATTTGATTATTTCAGAGACCTTCGTGAATCTAAAAAGATGATTGGTAATATATTAACTATTTTTTAACAATTGTTTTAAATGATTTGAAATAATTATTTGACATTCCAGAAAGTTTATCAACAGATCTTAAGAAAAAAGATAATCAGTTAAAGGAAATGCAGGCTGAACTACAGCAAGAATCTTGTAAGTTTTTCTAGCAATATCTCTTTTTATTCTGTTTCTTATTTTGTATTTTTTTTTGCACAGTTTATGAACGTCCTTCATCCCAAATGTCTTACTTAGAACATTTCCTGAAAGAAACAGCAAAAGATAGTAAGTGCTTTCAAAAATTCACTTATAAAGAAGTTTAATTTAAAATAATTTTTTTAAAGGATCATCATCATCAAACACAGTTCCAACACCAGTCCCAAATCCCGTAAGCTGTTTATTCAAATGTGAGAATGTCCAAAATTTTAATAATTCATTTGAACAGGAAATGTCCCCAAGTTCAGGAAAAAACAACAGTACAATTATTCCAAGTTCTTCATCAAATAATAACTTGGGCTATACTCAGCAAGCTCAAAGTATATCGTCAATTCCTCAGCAATACTCTCAAAGTCAATCCGTTCAATTACAAGAAAATTATATGAATACAAAAAATTTTTCAGTTGAAAGCGACGAAGGTGATATTGAAGACAACAAACTACATAGTTCTAGCTCGAGGAGTAACATTAGTGATGCTTCTTTAGATCATTCGAATAGCATTCATAGCTCAATATTGCAAAAGCAAGACTCTTCTCAAAAATCTTCAGCATCTCAACGAATTCACCAGTTTTTGGTGCGTACATTTTCATCCCCAACTAAATGTAATTTCTGTACCTCAATAATGGTCGGTTTAACTCGACAAGGTGTCGGTAAGCATAAAAAGGTCTATTAATTTTCAATCAAAATAATTAATTTCATTTTTCAATTGACAGTTTGTGAATTATGTGGATTTGCGTGTCATATGATTTGTTGTCAAAAAGTTCCGACTCATTGTCCAGCTACTCAATCAAAAAGACCACTTGGAATTGATCCTTCAAAAGGCATTGGAACAGCTTATGAAGGATATGTTAAAGTACCAAAACATGGATTTATTAAAAAAGGCTGGATTAGACAGTTCGTGGTTGTTTGTGACTTTAAATTGTTTCTATATGACATAACTTCCGAAAGAAGCTCAATGCCGAGTGTCCACGTAGCGCAAGTTTTGGATATGAGAGATTGTGAATTTTCTGTATCCAGTGTAAGAGAGAACGATGTAATACATGCATCGAAGAAAGATGTTCCATGTATTTTTAAAATTACAACATCATTATTGGAAGGTCAACCTTTGCAAACATTAATGCTTGCTGATTCGGAGAGTGAAAAGAATAAATGGGTAGTGGCATTGAATGAGTTACATCGCATATTAAAACGAAATAATTTACCAAATACTTCAGTATTTAGAATTAAGGAGATTCTTGATAGTACATTAAGTGTTGTAAGAAATGTTACTTCTGGAATTATAATCGATCAAGATCGTGTTATGTTAGGCACAGAGTCTGATGGTGTTTTTTGTGTTGAACTTGACCGATGTGAAATAGCTAAAATTGGAGAAAGCAAAAAGATTTATGAAATTTGGTATTTAAGCGATGAACAAATATTTATGATTCTATGCGGCAAACAAAGGTCTATTAAGCTACTGCCAATAAGAGCTTTAGAATCTACTGATGTTGAATGGATAAAAGTTGTTGAATCAAAGTTTTGCGTCACTGCCACTTGGGGACTAATACGTAAATTTCCACAAAACATATTTTGCATTGTTTTGGCTATGAAGAAGTCAAGCGGCTCACAAATAATAGTTTATGAAATCAACCGTAATAAAACTCGACATCACAAGATATGTGAATTTAATGTTTGTTATCAAGTTCAGAGTTTACAAATTCTCTCTGACACAAGGCTGGCTGTTGGACATCAATCTGGCTTTACGGCTTATTATCTTGAAGGAGAAGCACATGCAATGCGTAAGACTATTTATATTTAATGAGTGACAAAAAGCTTTTATAAAATATTCTATTCCAATTACTTTTACCTATATTACGAATAGCATTAGTTCATCCGGAAAATCAATTAAACAACTTTTTAATGTACTCTGGTGTTGATGCGTGGAGAGTCATTGAAATACAGTCTAGTCAAAATAGTGGATACAGAGAATTTCTATTGGTTTTTCAAACGTTATCGATCTACGTAGACATACAAGGACGAAAATCTCGTGACAGGGAAATTATGTATCCAGCCGTTCCTACTCATATAAGTATGTTTTCTTAAAACTTTCAATATTTAATTTGCTTATTGATTTTTCTATTTTTAATTTTACTATTTCCAGCTTTTTGTGATGGCCATTTATTGGTATATTCTGAGACACATTTAGATGTATTTAATATTCAAATGGGTGAATGGGTTCAATCAATTGGCCTTAAGAGATCGAAGCCTCTTAGTTTCAATGGTAATTTATCTTTAATGAGCATTAATGATTCTACAACAATCATTTATCTCGCCAATATGCATACAAGGGAAGTCTTAAATACAGAAAAGTTCTTGAACAGAGAAGAAAGCTTCAAGACGAAAAGAAAGTTTTCTTTACGTGAAATAAACAAAACTATTCGTATTGGCTCTGATCGACGTAAACTGATTTCTGGTCCAACTAATTTTAATCATATAAGCCACATGGGTCCAGAAATTCAAAAACAAAAGTTTGTGGATTTGCCGAGTAATGCTGACCAAGGAAGCATAAACGAAAAATTGGCATCGAGAATTTCACCATGTCAATTGAATCTCAGTAGTAGCAAGAAATCGTCTACATCCTCACGATACTCCTCTCTTCCAAGATCTCCAAGTCCATTAGATAATAGTGCTTCATCTCTAAATATGTCTCGCGAACGTAAATCTGAATCTCGTCAAAGCATTACTAGTAATATTTCTAGCTCTACTCCTCCTTCTCCTAATCGTTTGAGTTCCAGTTATGATAGCTAAAGATATATATGAAATTATTCATACCATACAAACCGTTCATATTAATCAACTATTTCAAAATTTAAATCTTTAAATCACAAAGCCAAAGTATTCCAAAAACGTTTAATTCGTGTTAAATTGGAGATAAATAAAACTATCCCCGAAAGAATTATGAATGAAAATTGGGCGCAAGCTTTCTGAATAATGCATACCTTTTTGATTTTCCTTTTAAGTTATAAAAAATGTCTGCAGTATTATTTAATTATAATAAATGTTTCAATTGCAATTTACATCTATAAAGGTATGTGCGCATTTACTGCCCCAAAAATTGAATAATTTGCATGCAAATTATTATTCATACATAACTTACATCACATAGTTTTAATGCCAAACGTTTTTAACATATTAACTCATTGCATTCAATAAATTCAAATAAAAATTATGTGACGAATAAATATCAACATAAATTAAACTATTCATTTGTACTCCTTTATTAAGTCTAGATTTCTTCTTTTCAGAACATTTTGCAATTTTTTTTACTACATTATAATACCTATATTTAAATACAATAGTCTTTCATGTACTTATCACACTCAATCTTGATTCTTTTTTTTAAATTTAATTTGAATGTACAATTTCCGAACGGGTCATTAACTTTATTATGGGATATTCAATAGGAATACTTTTTGACATTAATAAGAGTCGTTCTCTCATGACGTCCAAACATTTCGAAAAAAGTGTTTTCCAAAATACCAACTCAACTTAAAGTATTACAAATTAGTCAAAAATAATTTGACTCATTTTGATTGAAAAATTGTCAAAAAGTAAAGTTATTTTTGGAAAAATCAAGCTGCTGATGATGAACATCATTTCTGAATGAGAACAATATATTTTTAACAAAAAATTCCTACATTTAAATACAAGAAAAAGTTTCAGAAAAGTTTTCATTTAGAAATAATTTTTTGAATCTAAAGTTGGAACATTTTCTATGAATGTTAGAATACAGTCGGAGAATGACCAAAAAAAAGCTATTGTGCAAAATATGAATATCCAATGTACCAGCTAACAAGCCAATCGTTTCATTAGATTTTATTGTACATAACAGAAGGCAATTTTCAAATGATTGTGTATGTCTATAAATGTGGCTTATTTGATGACAATACTGAATATTTATTGAAAATTTTGATTAAATTATTTGTTAAGATTTACTGGTCTTATACTGAAACGGTGTTTCACAGTTGACATTGGTGAATTTTGTGATGCTTGAAAATTGGGAACAATACGTACACTTTTTCGTAATGAATCAACATCACTGAATTTTCTACTTGTGTTATTTCGATTTTGATAGATATTTTCTGCCACACAACTGTATATTCTTTGACGTTTGTTTATCATAATAGGAGATACGTCCTGACCTGGAGAATGTATTGTATGACTGGAGTTGTATTTTTTATTTAATAATAAAAGGTTTTGATTCCGGTATAAGTGATCTGTTCCCAATCTCCGATGCATTGAATTGATTATTGATTTCCCTTGAGAATTTTCTGTTGTAACTTTATCAGTATGAAGCATTTCGATAGCTCTTATGACATCGGCCATTGTAGTTGTCTCTAGTAAATCCTGTTCTTCTTCGTGACAAGGAATGGTAAAAATATTAGATTTTGAGTATCTGTATGACGACATATCGTCCATATTATTGATTCTTTCTTTGTGAGAAAACTCTTGACTATTTTTGTGCTCGTAATGTAGTGGGTTATTCGGATACTGTATTGAATACTTTTTTGCGTCCGAATTTCTCTTCTTGAAAAAATTGAATTTTTGCAGTAATGATTTTTTAGTAACATTTTCTTTCAAATTTATTTCCAAGTCGTGTGGGAAATGTTCAAACTCATTCTGAAGAGATGTTTTATGTGTCATATTCGGTTTTATCACTTGTGAACGTATCTTTTCAATTTCATTTATTTGTGTATTTGCTCCACACCATGTCCATTCATTCGAATCCTAAAGTGTGATTGAGACATTCAAAAATTAATTCATTTGCTATAAAAATTACGATACTGCAATGGCGATCTTTTTTTATGTGAAAATTGTAACAAAATCATAAAATTAATGCGCTTAAATAAAAGAACAAGGAAAGTACCTTTGAATATTTTTCAATTGGAATGCAAACTTCAGAGAATGCGCGACGACTTCGAGCATACGTTTCCGAGTGAGGATATCTATCTGTAGAAGTAGCAATTGACATATTTGAATAATTTGCTTCATCTGCCAAAATTTCTGAATCAGAAAATCCACTGAATCCTACATGATTAGGGTAACCATTTCTGTATTCACTCAGAGCAACGGAAAGCTTTGCCAATAATTCTCCCGGTTCAACTTGCTGTTGACTCTGTGTAGCAAACGTTTTCTCTCTATCTATAAAACTTAAATCACTATCCGACTGAGGACGTGTTATAGTAATGGAACCATGTAGTGGCTTTTTTGTTTGCTTTATTTTTGTACATTCTGAGAAGGCACGCTTTCGTAACTTCCTGTTTAAAATCATCATTTCTTCTTCAAATTCATCCGCATCTTCAATAGACAAATTTGGACAGGATTCAGATCTCGGTATATGAAGTTTCTTTCTTGCATCTGTTCGGTCTTTATATACAGGCTGAAAGAGAATTCGATTCATTTTTATTCAATTGAATAAATGGACAAAAAACAGCCATTAATATATTATCTTTTCATTAGATAGAATACACACCTTAAATTTTAGGAAATATACCTCATCTAAAATTTTCCGAATATACCCAACATCACGTTGCACCCCACTCCATATTTTCTTTTGTGTTTCCTTTATATTTATAGCTAGATTGTGCTCAATCCTTTTGACTTTCTTGCTACGCAAACCTCTATATCATTAAAATAATAAATATTTTACAACAGAATGTTTACAATGATAAATGAAATTAATTCATTCGAGACAAAGAAGACGGTAGATACTTACTTGATTAAGAATCCAATAATCATGGCTATATAACTGACGCCTAAATTGTATTAAGAAGTAAGCATTAATTCAAGCAAATCAAAACTTTCATTGTACCATACATTAGTGAGTGAATTTAGTTCTTAAATTCTGATTGTAAGTTCCAAAATGAATGTTAGCATGTTATTTAAAAAAGTAATGGAAATTATTGAATATATTAAAGGCGTTCATCTCATTGTTCTAATAATTAATACCTGCTATAAACCAGCAAACTATAAATAGCTCATACAATATAAAATAGATTCCATATTCCCGTTCCTGATGATTCTGAAATGTTGGCACAAAATCACCGAATCCTTTAAAATAAATCATGATTAACATTTTAATTAAATATCACAACTTGACAGTCGGCGCTATTCAGCATGTTCTATTCAAATTTTTAACATGGAGATAGCACAGGCTTGTAGTGACATCGGAAGGAAGACATCAACTATAGTCAAAAGTGCCAGCTCTATATAATAGATTTTCAATACAGCTTAAACTTCGTAATTTACATACTGCTGCTACAAGCAAGCAACGCAGTATAATTCAAGTTCATTATAATCGTGCCAAAATAATTAATTCATGTCTAGTCATGCCATTATGAAATTCATTCACAATTATTTAAATTTGGCCAATAAAAAATTTGCAGAAATTAAAGTTTTTAAATTTATTTTATGAGCGTGCTTCTCATTGAATACCAAAGGCGCCGAAATTATGATACAATACAATCTAATTTTCATAAAAGTACGCTTGCAGTACTTAAACTTACCGATTGTAGTGAGAGTAACGAAGGTGTAGTATACAGATATTGAGTAGTCCCACCCTTCAAAGTATGAAAAAAGAATTGCTGGTGCAAATATAAATAAAACGATTCCAGGAAATAGATATAGTGAGATCTGTCCAATCAAACTGACTTTTTTTGGAACCCAGTGCTTGTCCATAGCCATCTTGTACTCTTTGTATCTTCTGTATAATTTTACAAACTATAAAAATATAAAACAATTTAATTTTAAGAATTTGCGAGAAAAAAAATTAAGTAAATTTACTGTGTTGCCCCAAAAGTTACCCATGTATGCAAACAAAATTGCATGTACAGGAAGACCTTAAATAAAATGTTTAAAACAATATGTAAATCTAAGAATAATGAAACAATTTACAGTATGAACATTTAAATGTAAGCTCACCGACTAGACCGTAAAATATTAAAAACATTCGACCCGTTGTATTGCTTGGTGCAATGTTTCCGTAACCTTTTGTAAATATTAAAAATGTAGTTGTATCCATCATTCTTACACTTGAGAATATTTATATTACCAACTGTAGAACACACAGTAAATGAGAAGAAAAACGCATGATAAAAGCTCCAAATATATGGTGCCGTAAATTCATCTTTTGATGGGTGCGTCACCGGTTTGCCACAATAATCAGACACTGAAACAAAATAACAATTAAGGCTTTTAATGTCAAGCTGAATATACATGCTCCTCATCATGTTACCTTCTTCGAGTATTTCGTTTTGCAGCTTCGTATCATTTGAAAGGTATCTTGTCATCAGGGCTATAAGTTATAAAATATTTACTATAGTTATCAGAATTTATGTATCAAAAGATAGTGATGACGTATTAATCAGTTCCTTATAAACAAATTGCGCTTATTGAATGTTTATCTTAATGATATTCAATTATCACTTTGAATAATCAATTGTAGAGGTATAGACCTTTAATCATTCTCATCTTTCCATTCTACAAATGCATAAATAAGATCTTATAAAATGCAAGTGAAGATTCACATAAATAGCAATGAAGCAATGACACTGCTTGATTCACAATAATCATATGATTTAATTTAATTTACTTCATAGTTTATTTGCGAATGTCAATGGACCGAACGTAAATATATAGAAGCAATTGTATAAAAGCTTGAACCCCGCATTCTTATCAAGGATGCTGGGTTATAAGTCCAGAGATTATAAGTCCAGATACAAAAATCGTGCACAGAAAATTATAAGTCCAGAAAATAAAAGTGACTAAAGGTTTATAAGTCCAGATACAAATTGCACTTGGACTTAAAAACCTCACGTGCAGTTTATAAGTCCAGATACAAATACAGCTGGAATTATAAACTGCACGAGAGGTTTTTAAGTCCAGGTACATTTTATATCTGGACTTATAAACCTTACGTGTGGTTTATAATTCCAGAAAATTTATAAATTTTACTTATAATCTCACAGTGCGATTATAAGTCCAGATACATTTTTCTGGACTTATAATCTTTGAAAATTATTTGAAACTTATTCAATTTTTTTTTTCTTTATTAAGTCTCTGTTATTGAACCTAGTGCCTTAAAGTTGAACATCATAAAAAATCTTTATCACTAAATATTTACTGAATCTTAAATGTAGCAGCTTATGTTTATAGCACTTTTAGAAGCATTTTGAATTAGCGATTTAAAAGAAATCAATCAGAAAATCGAAGATGACTGAAGTTTTTTCGATTTCATACATTCTCAATTTTACTCTAGCACCAGTTGGGTTTCGATCAACGCTCTTTTTTTACTTTATATGAGAAAGTAATAAGATAGATCAGGAGCAGGACGAATCTTACATTTCTGTATCCTCGTAATGAACATCTCATTTTTACTTTTCTTTATTTTTTGTGAATTTTTTGATCCATATAATTTGAGAATTTGATTCGTTAAAAATGTAAGTACCTATGTTCACACCGTTTTTACGTGTGAATCTATTGGTTTTGTTCAGATTGAAAAATCAGTTTTTCAAATTTTGTGAGGAAATGGAACAAGATAGCTTAAAATGTTCAGAGATGAAAAGTTTGTGCCTGAAATTTTACATAATTTTCAAGAAACGGATTTCAAATTGGTTGCGGCATTGCTGAGAAAATCGCAAAATACGCTTTCTGTAAGCAAGCAAGAAATCTCAATAACGAGACATTGTAGATCTCTGTGAGATTATAAGTAAAATTTATAAATTTTCTGGAATTATAAACCACACGTAAGGTTTATAAGTCCAGATATAAAATGTACCTGGACTTAAAAACCTCTCGTGCAGTTTACAATTCCAGCTGTATTTGGACCTGGACTTATAAACTGCACGTGAGGTTTTTAAGTCCAAGTGCAATTTGTATCTGGACTTATAAACCTTTAGTCACTTTGATTTTCTGGACTTATAATCTCTGGACTTATAGTTTCTGGACTTATAACCCAGCATCCTTATCAAGAATTTTAATTTTTATTTTTGACATCAAATTTATTCAGTCATGACAATCAAATTCGCAGTTTAATGCTTAATAAAAATTTAAAGGAGTGAAATTTTCTCTGAAAAATATTCAACGAATTCATTGCTTTAAAAAATTGTTTTTCTATGGGTTTTAGTCTCTTTACGATCCAAACGTGCACGTGCTGAAAAAGTCTTGAAATTAAATGTATTTTTTTCTTTGCTACTTCCATAAAACAACAAATTTCTAATCATTTGTTCTTGAGCAAAGTCGAGCATAGGTTTGAAATAAACATCAATCGATGTATCTAATTATGTTTGACTGTATGACTCTACAAGATCTTCCGTGATTTTAATCCAGTGACAATATTTGTATAGTCTCGTTAATCGCTAATTGGAGCAGGCAAGCGTTCTATTTTGCTAATGTGGTGTGAAAATATTTACAATTTTTCATGATTCATTATCGGTTGCATACAAGTATTCATCACGTATCTTGTCAATGTTGCTATAATTTCAGTATGAAATACTTTACTATATGTAAATAAGCTTCTTCACACACTTTATATTGATTTATAATAAAGTGAAATCGGAAATTGAAGTTGTAATTAAAGTCACATTGATATTAGATAACTATACTTGATGTTTGTTATTGGTATAGGTAATAAAGTCTTTGAGCAAGTCGGTTTGAAAAAAATAAAAATTGTCATTAACGCATCCTCATTTTTTTTTAACTTTAAAACATTTAATTACAAATCTGTTGTTATGACAAATTCATGATAAGACAGACGTTGTGCATGCTAGAATAGAATCAACATGGGAATTATTGCTTATGAGGCATTACACTTAAATGATATAATAACATTTCTTATGTATGTAATTCTTGAAATATAATGAACAATATTGTATCATAAAGATGATAAACCAGGCAAGTTAACAATAATTTCGTTAGAAGAAGCAGAATAATGACTACATATTATTTTGTTATGGAATATCTTGTAAAGTGGAAGTGTTGTAAGTATATATTAACTGAATACAGATGTAATCATGGACTGCATACCCTGTCATATGAACTGAATTTATCAGTTATCAAATTACATGCTTTCTTTCCGCTATGCTAAGGTAAATTGAAAGGATCGTTTGTACTGTGGTGTCAGGTTTGAAGAAATGGGATTACTTTTAGCACAATTGTGTGTTCTTTACGTGATGTATCAATTTTCCAATTTTTTCAAATCAAGAAATTACAGATGCTCTTTAAATATTATCAGACTATTGTTTCAACTCTGGAAGACATCTTAATCTTTGAAAATTACACACTTATGCTTATTGGAAATAATTTGAAATGTTAATTCAAAGTGATAAGCCACATTTGAATTTATTCACAAACTCGCAAAGTTTTATGTATGTAAATTTATGTATTCAAGCTAATTTCTTTGATTTCTTCAAAAATACGTGTGGGGTTAGAAACAAAAGCACAGCAAATTCATACCATTAATTTTGATTCGTTCATTATGTGCAACATTTCTCCTCTGTGTCTCCAATTTGTGTTCAACATGATAGAATACACTAGCGCCAAAAATTAAATACAAGATGTAGAAAGTCAAGAGTGAAATCCATTGCTTTGGACTCATTCTTTAATTTGGTTAATCTGCCTTAATTTTTTTTTGGTGTTTAACAGCAACTAAATCCTAACATTCACAGCACTGTATTTCAATTAACTAATTTGTAGTTTGCACTCATTGTTCATTATTCATTTATTTTTACGCACTTTAATTCATTCTTTTTTATTTTCATTCAAAATTCTCAAGCAGCTCATTAATTCTGAATATAAATGGAATAGAATTTAATATCAGCTTATAATGTATTAATGATTGATGTGTTTATCTAATAATACTCTTTATGCACAGGTATAATTATGAATGTTAATTGAAGTTAAAAGCGGATAATTAAAATTTACAAAATCACAGGGTAAAATCATGTATAACATGAGCTTTAAAGTAGTTTAAACATCGTCAAATGCACTTTTGATCATTATAATTGAATCTTCAAATTATTCACTGCTATTAACACTTTTTAGAACCTTTAATAAAGCACAGTAATTAAGTTTGAAGGTTTCGAATAGAATTCATATTATAAAAATAGATTATTAGCTATATTAACTAGATCACAAGTCATCACGGCAAAATCCATTCGATAACTGACCATACATCCATCGAACATCATTAAGTACATTTTCATTCACATGCATTGATTTCATATATACCTAGTTGGTTATTTTTTTATAATTGTAGTTTCTCAATAACTCATTAATCCAATTCTTACAGACTTATGGGTGTAAAATACACAGGTATATTGTGTGTATGTCATATCAAAAGTATAAACATATAAACAAGTAAACGATCGTAGACGAAAGTAAGCACACTCCTAGGTATTGAAAATCAGTTACTCTTTACCAAGTGCATATCGTTGCAGCTAGATAGCAAATTAAGAAGTTATAATACCGAAACTGTTAGAAGTGTTCTGCTTTTCTAAAACCTGTTGCAGAACTAATGAAGAATTATACTTAATAGAAAGGATGACTAAACATGAGAATGCGGAAACATCTCCAATGTATCTAATATTTCATTTATGAGCAGCACTTGCTGTAAAATTAAAAACACTAACCAACATGTATGTAGTTATTTGTAAACACATAATGACATGTACTTATCAAAACATTTTGGATTGTTTTTTTGTATTTTAATTACAAACATAACTTTGCTATCATATTAGTGTGTCAAGTTTTATTTATGCAGGTACAAAGCTAATTCACCTGCAATAATAAAATGTACAAAGTTTATTAAGTTGAAAAGGCTTGAAACTTGAGAATTTACTCGGTTTACCAAAGAATTTTCCACCTCAGAATTGAAGGTCTGAGGTATACTTTGAAATCTGATATTATGAATGAAATCAATCTGTTGTCTACAGGTGTTTTTTTTCCTCTGTGTAAACACCGGTAAATATTCGAAGCACACCGGTAGCTTTGAACTATGATTGAACAATTTATCTATGCTTTTCATCTGCGGTTTATCATAATGACAATCATACCAAGTCATCCCTATAGAATCCGTTGTGTGTGTATCAATGACATCGGGATGATCGCATGAAATGAAAAATCTATGGATGCATCAATAATCTGATAACAAACAAAACTTATTATTCCAAATAATGCTACAGTTTAAAAACCAAATCGATGTATGATTTTATATTCAATGCACATATTACGTAAAAATACGGTTTATACTTTACAATTTTATAAATAACAATACCAATTGAAATAACAAAGACTAGTTGCAGAATAAATAATTTTTGCCATATTATTTGGATATTAACTTGTGGTATTTATTTAAAAATTTAAACAAATTCTCATTTTTTGCAGATACATGAAATTTCAGATTTGTTATCATTTGAAATTTCATTCAGCTTTAATGCGTCTGATGTTGATATGGGATTCGAATGACTTTATAGCACCGTCTCTCTTATACTAACTTCAACACACGAAATTGTAAGCCTCATTTCAACGACAATTATTAACAAAATTATTCCGCAATTTTCATGGTAATCAAATATAATTAAAAATTAAATACGGCATTGGGTTGTTCACTGATGATGTTCATCATCCATTGTTTCTTTGGATACATTTTTTCTCTGCGAAACAAAAGTGATTCTTTATAGAAATAAGTGAACAAAACTTACTCTCAACCATTTTAAGCTAAAAGGGGACTTAAGCTGGATGTATAAAAGTAAAAGTAAAAAAGCAGCTATTTATTAATTTTGTTCGAATAGATCTAAACTTATGAAGGTCCCCAATGTGAATTTGAGCTCATTTATATGTGCAGAAATCTGCCGGTATCTTTTTAAATGATAATAATTAAAAGGTTTATTCAATCAAATGACCTTCAATGGATAATACAATATTTAATGTTATGCACATTGTGTTTCCAATTGTTTATTGTGACCAATGTTGTTAACAGGAGATACTGTAAAAATCAATTTTCATGAAAAATCAAATATAAAATGTGTCTAAATGTTTCGGTAAATAATTTTATTATTTAACTTTTAAAGTTACTGGAACATTTCCATTTAATGTTAATTCTCTTTATAATATGACACGTTAAATTGAAGTTTAATCGTAAGGTTTTAAAAGTATATCATGTTCATAACGTATAAAAAATTATAAGTTTATCTCAATTTGCATTATTCTAGATATATATATTTTTTTCTCATGGTCAGACCAACTTATTAAATTGGTGGGAAAATTAGTATACGAGATTAGTTCTATGGATATTTTTTAAAAATAATTCGTGTAAACTTAAAGTCTCTCAACAAAAATTAGCAAAACTTCCAAAAGGAAGATGAAAAAACTACATGTGTACATCATAGAGTGATTATGCTGAACAGCCTGTGGCGTTTCTCCTGAAAAGTACAAAAAAAAACAGAACCGAAATTCAAACTTTATTGTCATATCTAATTACGAGGGAATTCCCTCTTGCATATTTGTTTATTATTAATATCTATGATAAAGATATGAGATACCTACCCATTAAAATTTGAATATTAACGCTTGTATATGTAGAATTATTAATATAACAAGTATATGTGCCACTATGCATTTTTTCAGCATGTATAATAGTTATACGGCTATTTTTCCAAATATGTGTCGTACTGATGACATAAAAGAAATGAAAGAAGAAAAGCGAAAAGAAAGCTATAAAATTTTATACATGTATCAAGTGATGATATAGGACAAAGGAAAAGTAAACACAGATCTGTGTGTAACAATGTTTTCTTTTACAGACCTTAAACTTATTTTTATATTTTTTGGCAATTCTTTTCCATCCTTTTTCCAGTTAATGTTTAGATTTTCGCTCTCTATCTTCTTCTTTATTTGATTTGTATTGATAAATGGAAGTACTGTTGTTGTTATTCTATTATGTGAATATTTTGTTGGTGACGATAATGTATTGAGAAATGATAGAGCTACTTGACATGTCATATCTAAGGAACTACCTAATTTATAATATCTATCACTAATTTCATGGCCCATTTCATCTATCAACCGTATTGCTCGGGCTGTTAAAATAAGCAATTAGGAATAAAAAGTAAATTTTAAGTTCCTTAAAAAATGTCTCGAAACTATTGCCGTAATTACCTAATACTGTAAGATTAGTTGCTATTACGCGAGGCGGATGAGTCGAAACCTGACACAGGTATAGCCCTTCGTCTATTGCAGTAATTGGATTTATCTTTTAAATAGAAAAATAACAACAAAAGGAAAGAACATTTTTTATTTTCGGAACGAAAACCTTTCTTGCGGCGAATTTGCCGAGTAATTTCTTGACATTTTTCTTTTCAGTCATAAATTGTTTAACGTCAATACTTAAATTATTTATCCTTACCGATAATCTCCAGTTGTTTGGATAGATAAACATAACTTTTATACGCGGATCTCCAGAATAAGTAATATTTCCCACAGTTAAAAGTGAAACTTTGTCAAATGTTCTTCGTACCCACATAACTGTCTTATCTTTCAACATTCCTACTCTACAGTTTAAAATTGATTCAGTTCCTTCATGAAATCCTATTTGTAATGTACCAGTCGTGTTGAGTGGATCTTCAAAAAATGGACCGAATTGGTCATGATAATGTTTTGATTGATACTGTTTGTGCCCTAATCGATGTCGCATGAAACTAGTAGACAATGTTGGAACTATATCTAATGAGATATATTCAATTGAAAATTACATAATTTATGATTCTTAGTTATTGTTGAATAACTTACAATTATAAAGAGTTGTTCGTCGATCATAGTTGGAAGTTGAATCCAATGATAAAGAACTTCCGAAATCTGTAGAGTAAGTAGGGGTGTCTGTAGAATTTTCAATATTCTTTAGTGTCAAGTCTTGTCCGTTTGGTCTGTTATCTCGTTGTTCCACATTTTCGTATGATTCCGTAAAGTTTGGCGATTTTTGAACATTTTTGGCGTCTATAAGAGTTTCAAATAAATTACATGTAAATGCGCCTGTTCTGGCTTTACATACAATTTGCTTCCTTCATTACTTCTCCATTAAATTAAATTACATATTTATAATAATGGGAAAAAATAATGGAAGAAATATTCACGAAACATAATTATTGTATTTATATTTTGAACCCACCAATTAATACTGAAAAGAAGACAATAGCCATTAAAATTATATTGCCACATAAATTTCTGCAATTATTCCTCATAATTGTATTCACTGATGTTGATACATTGCTTCTTAACACTTATGTACATTAAATTGAATTGCATCTAGAATCAGAGCACAGAGTTAATGTTGTATAATCTCACATTTTCACAAAAGTAATTAAATTATTTTTATTATTCGTTTAATTCCCTTTTCATTGAAAAAACATCGTATGTACATTGTTCTTCCACACATGAAACTTTATCCTTTTTTATCTATTCAAATCAATTCATATAGGACATAAAACATACATTTTTTTATATCAAAACGTCACAAATAATCCTTAATGTAAAGAATTTATGGAGAAAAATTTTATGATTTTCATCTCAAAATTTCTTCACGGTTAACACATTTCTTAAATTGAGTGCTTGAGCTTTGAAATGATACTGAGATTTTTTTTAGATTTCAAATCTTTTCTATAATAATTTTTAATATAAAGCTCCTTCGTTGAGTTTGCGCAGTTCTTCTAGGATTTTTCTGTATTAAATTGTATAAATTTTTATAGGAAAGCTGAAAAAAAATTCTTTATTATGAACATTTTTTTCTTTGTAAAGCTTAGAATGAACATACAAATTTTGCATACACTCTTTCAATGTGTATCATTTTTGTCATCTAATTGATGATTTTCTTTCTTCATGCTGTTATCACTTTTAATTTTTTTTCTCTTCCTTTTTTTTTGAAAGTCATGACTGTAGAAATATTCATCTCTCACTTGATTGACTCATAAGAGATTATAACATAAGTTGTTAAAATGCATATGTGCGTGTAATGTACTCATGCTGAAAACACCATATGTGTTATGACAACTTTTCTCTACATAAAGCTACAACCTCCTATATTGTTTTTATCGATTTAAAATTCTTCAGATCAGATTACGAATCTTCTGAATAAAAAATATCACGTTTAACCATCCGTCGTAGCGAATAAAAATTTCTCTGATGATTCTCTTTTTTTTCTGTGTCATGGTAGATCAAGTGAGCTTAATGGGATATACTTTTACATAATAATCAATACATACATGACTTGTATGGATCTTAATTATGTGTGCTCATTTTGATCAACACTTAAAGTTTGTGATTACCAAAATTATATGTTTGAAATTTAGATTAAAACTCATCATATCACATTCATGTCATGTAAATCACATACGTTTATCACATCAAAATATGGACACATATCGTATTGCTTTAAATATATGTTTTGGGTTCCTTTACAAATTTTCACATCTGTAATACTGGGTTAAATCTCATTATTTATACACATTGACCTATTAACTCTTCTGTATGCACTGTATCACGAAATATATTTTAAGCAAAGATGGAGAGTCATGTATGATAGGATCAAAACTTTTCGAAACAAAAGCTTCTATACAAGAAATCATACACGTGTGAAAATAATCAATCAAACTCGTTTGTGTGTATGCTACATTTTGATTAACTCGAAATTTACGTGACTTTCTCGACAATGAGGAATAAATTGCTTACGCATTTATTCTAATTGTACATAAGTACCTTGCCTATTGTTGTTGTTGCTGTTATGTCTAACTTTTCATATTCTCTCAACTATTCACTCGAAAATATGTTAACAAATAAGTGCAGTGCACTGAACAAATGAAAACCGCACTCCGAATGAGCTCAAAAGTATGACTGAGCATTGCATAGAGTTCATCAATGAAAAACCTTATTTTATCAAACATTCTAAAAACATTTTGTTGCGCGCATACTAAAAGGTTCCAAAAAATTAATTTTTATTTCATAGATGTCAATTATGCGAAATGGAAAACTGTTTAAAAAAATTATTGTCGGCATTTTGTCAAAATGTATTAAATTCTGTTTCTTATTGCCGTCATTCATTTCTTAAGTATCCAGATTCAGAAAGGAACAATTTTTTTCAAATTAGGAAGTCTGAATCTATTTACGCCAAATCATTGTATGTGCCGTGAATTCTTAAGTCTATACTGTATAGCTTGTTTTGCGAAAGATGGAAAAAATATAAATTTATTTTCAATTCAAATAAATTACATCAATTTTATTGAAGTTCATGGAAGCAATTTAAAGAAAAACTTTAGAAGATTGAATGTTAGAGTTCATTTCAAATTTTCTTCTATTACTATCAGGATATTTTTTGGTATGAAAAGTGTAATTGATCCATTTTTTAAAGAAAGGCGTAGAAACTTTTTATACGAAGCTTATTTAAATTACAATTTTACACTTAATTAAATATGACTAGTCATATATAGACATCTCGCTTACATCAATTCACGATCCAACAAAATAAATGAGTAACTTAGACGTTCTTATAGATTACAGATTGCTTAATTAGATTATAATGTATACAATTTAATAGATATATAAAATTTTTCAATTAACAAAACGGAAAAGAATAATTTTCAATGTTTAATCAATCTTTATCTGTATGTATGCAAACATTTCAACAGAATCTCTTCAACAGATTATACATTCATATTTAGTATAATAGCGCGACTGCCATAAACATCATGTTTAAACTTTTGTTATATTTCTATTTCTTTTTGTGTCTTATAAGAAGAAAATTTGACGATTTGTCAAGTGTTCAAGGCAGCATTATTTCGGGAAATGTCGGAACCAATTCAAGCTTAACTGAGTCGAAAGCTATAGAATTTATTTTGGAACAAAGACTAGCGGATGTAATCTATTTTTCTTTTTATATTCACACCGTTTTCACGTGTGAATCTATTGGTTTTGTTCAGATTGAAAAATAAGTTTTTAGAATTTTGTGAGGATATGGAGCAAGATAGCTTAAAATGTTCAGAGATGAAAGTTTGTGCCTTGAATTTCACATCTTTTGCAAAAAACAGATTTCAAATTGGTTGCGGCATTGCTGAGAAAATCGCAAAATATGCTTTCTGTAAGCAAACAAGCAAGCAAACAAGCATGCAAGTTAATCAGCAAGAAATCTCAATAACGAGACATCGTAGAGACTTCTAGGTTTTTACATTTGATCCGTGCTGCTCTATAGAAGAGCTGTATTGTTTTTGGGCAAGGTAGGAACAGCCGTTGCTTCAGAAAAGGCAAAAAACTTTCCTTTCTTATGAATTTTTCAAAACAAAAGTTGACTGTGATTTTTATAAAATTCAACTTTGGATGAAAATTTTTTTTAAAAACTTTTAAAGTGACTCGCTAGCTTTACACCTTCAAACTCATGCTGAGCAAAACTCAGCTGACACGGTAGTTTGACACCTTCAAACTTATGCTGAGCAAAACTCAGCTGACACGGTAGTTTTACACCTTCAAACTTATGCTGAGCAAATTTTGGTCTATCCATAAGACTTTTGATGGTACGGTGTGAATATAATCCGCATTGGGTATCTACCCGATACACTAGTTTAAATTAAAATTTTGGATGAAAAAATTTTTTTTGAGCAAAGAACCAAGAAGGAAATACATTTTCAATTTTGGACTAGGGGCGACCCTAGTCAAAATCAATTTTGTCACTTTTTTTCGAGGGTTTATCCAAATGGATTGAAACTTTGCATAAATATTTTAGTGCTTAAAACAAATACAAATAAAGCATCCTAAAATTTTTTTGAGTAAAGAACCAAGTAGTAAATACATTTTCAATTTTGGAATAGGGGCGACCCTAGTCAAAATCAATTTTGTCACTTTTTTCTTCGAGGGTTTATCCAAATGGATTGAAACTTTGCATAAATATTCTAATGCTTAGAGCAAATACAAATAAAGCATCCTAAAATTTTTTTGAGCAAAGAACCAAGTAGGAAATACATTTTCAATTTTGGACTAGGGGCGACCCTAGTCAAAATCAATTTTGTCACTTTTTTCTTCGAGGGTTTTTCCAAATGGATTGAAACTTTGCATAAATATTCTAGTGCTTAAAACAAATACAAATAAAACACCTTAAAATTTATTTGAGCAATGAACCAAGTAGGAAATACATTTTCAATTATGAACTTGGGACAGGTCTAGTCAAAATCTAGTTTTTTCATTTTTTTCGAAGGTTTATCCAAATGGATTGAAACTTTGCATAAATATTCCAGTGCTTAAAACAAATACAAATAAAACATCCTAAAATTTTTTGAGCAAAGAACCGAGTAGGAAATACATTTTCAATTTTGGACTAGGGGCGACCCTAGTCAAAATCAATTTTGTCACTTTTTTCTTCGAGGGTTTATCCAAATGGATTGAAACTTTTTATAAATATTCTAGTGCTTAAAACAAATACAAATAAAACACCTTAAAATTTATTTGAGCAATGAACCAAGAAGGAAATACATTTTCAATTATGAACTTGGGACAGGTCTAGTCAAATCTAGACTAGGGATTTTGTCTCTGGACTAGGGGCGACCCTAGTAAAAATCAATTTTGTCACTTTTTTCTTCGAGGGTTTATCCAAATGGATTGAAACTTTTTATAAATATTCTAGTGCTTAAAACAAATACAAATAAAACACCTTAAAATTTATTTGAGCAATGAACCAAGAAGGAAATACATTTTCAATTATGAACTTGGGACAGGTCTAGTCAAAATCTAGTTTTTTCATTTTTTTTTTCGAAGGTTTATCCAAATGGATTGAAACTTTGCATAAATATTCTAGTGCTTAAAACAAATACAAATAAAGCATCTTAAATTTTTTTGAGCAAAGAACCAAGTAGGAAATACATTTTCAATTTTGGACTAGGGGCGACCCTAGTCAAAATCAATTTTGTCACTTTTTTCTTCGAGGGTTTTTCCAAATGGATTGAAACTTTGCATAAATATTCTAGTGCTTAAAACAAATACAAATAAAACACCTTAAAATTTATTTGAGCAATGAACCAAGTAGGAAATACATTTTCAATTATGAACTTGGGACAGGTCTAGTCAAAATCTAGTTTTTTCATTTTTTTCGAAGGTTTATCCAAATGGATTGAAACTTTGCATAAATATTCCAGTGCTTAAAACAAATACAAATAAAACATCCTAAAATTTTTTGAGCAAAGAACCGAGTAGGAAATACATTTTCAATTTTGGACTAGGGGCGACCCTAGTCAAAATCAATTTTGTCACTTTTTTCTTCGAGGGTTTATCCAAATGGATTGAAACTTTTTATAAATATTCTAGTGCTTAAAACAAATACAAATAAAACACCTTAAAATTTATTTGAGCAATGAACCAAGAAGGAAATACATTTTCAATTATGAACTTGGGACAGGTC